TATGGGAGAATCTTTTGTGCTGCGTTTAATGCCTTCCTCTTTCCACCCGCGAACACAAACAATATGCATTTTAATTTGTTTCATATTGCAACGTTTTGTTTAAACGTAGAGCGCTTTGTTTGCGTGGCTCTTGTTTTTTGAGTTTTTGTTTTGTTGATTTCAACTTGCCGCGATGCGCGTCGTTTTATGAAAATTCAATTGGATGCCAAAACGGAACGGCAGAAACTGGAGCTGAAACAGCGACATCGACATCGGCATTGGCAGCAGCATCAGCAGCAGTAACAACAACAACAACAACAAACGAACAAACAACAAAACTCGGCGTCGACGTCTCTGCATATTTGGTTAAAATCGTTGCCTTTCACTGTTTGCCATTTCAATTATGTGCAACGCGGCGTATGCACAATGTTGTAATGAAATGGGCACATAGACCAACCCCGCTGTCGTTCGCTGCCTCTGCCATTCTCCACGCATAAATATTTTGGCCGGAGGGTCCAATTGGGCAAAGAGTTGCTGTTTTTCTCCGCTTTTTGGCCCTCCAAGTGGACTCTGTTATTTAAAAAGGCATTTTGTCGACGACTGCAACTGCAACGGCAACGGCAACGGTAACGGCAACTGCAGCTGCAGCTGTTTCAGCATAGTGTTAAAAGTTCATGCATATTTATGGTGTCATTCATTTTAAAAAACGTTCGAGTATGAAACGCATTTAAACGGCCTCCGGCGGTAGTAACTGCCCTGAAAAATCGAGCAGAAAACCAAGCGAAATGCGTTGCGGCTTGGATTGAAATGCACGCAAACAGTTTTGCGTTTAGAATTTTTCAATCGTCTCACTTACATTTGCCGGACTTTCGAGACAATAAACAAATGGAGAAGCCCCACAAATTAAATGCATCCGATGCTCTCCGAAGTCTTTTGTTGACCATGGCTTTGCCTTCGGTTTGTCTTGCTGTGCATCATAGGGCTTATTTTCGCCAAAGTTGCCGTTGGCTGTTTGCAAAGTTTCCACAGAAGTGGTTGGGGATATTCGAAGCCCCACCGGAGTTCGACTATCCCCACTTACACATCCACCATTAGCAGCTACTTTTCAATGCGGTTAGCTGGGAAACAAAGCGTTGCACATTCGGCCAGATAAAGTTCGGGCTCAATACAGCGGGGAAAAGGGGTAGATAGTTAAAAATATGTAAAAGTATTTCGCAGTGTTTTTGCCTTATTTTATTTACGAAAAAGTTCAGATGAAATGCACAACAAAAGTTGCCCCTGCTGCAAAGCTCCCCGCTCACACAGCAAAAGTTAATTGCATGTGTATTTGTGTGTGGAAACTAACTTTCTAGGTAAGTTTAAAAAGAGAGGGGGATGGGGTGGGGGCCAGGGCAAGGTTTCTCGGCAATAATTAAACACACATTTTATGCTGCTAATGAAACATTAGTTGTTTACATTTAATTTGCTATTTAGAAGCTCCGACGCGCACCCCGGAACACCCAAACCATTAAGTCTGCCAGTTGCATCGACCGGTGATGAGAAGAAAAGTTCATCAGGAGTCCGGCTCAAAGAAGCACACTGAAAGAAATAACAAAAATAAGTCAGGCATAAGCAGAAAAGATTTTTAAGCAAGATTTACCTACAATTCAATTCTCATTCATATCTAATGCGAATCAGCAGCTCATGTCTGTTTATTAATCAAATGCAATTAGATTGAAAATCGGATTTATTGTTTGTGTGCTTATGTGATGGAAAGGATTAAATTTGCAAGATCCAAGGTTCCGTATTATTAACAAGTTGGGCATTCTTGAACTTCTAAGTCTAGAAGGATAATCCACAAATGAACGTTAATTAAATATCAGTTTTATTCAGATTTGCTATCATGGTTTAAGCAATTAAAATTGATTTCCTCTCTATAAAATCAAAACTAGAGTTCTCTGAGCCTTAATAAGACTATTCAAATACAACATTTGGGCCATTATTATTTTTCTGGAAATCAACTGCGCTTCATTGCCTTTGGCTGCCGTGCGGCCTTTTGGCTTTTGATTTGTTGATTTCCCAGGCAAAGAGATTTATGAACACACACACCAACCGAACCGACACACATGCCGAAATAAAGTTGCCTATATTTAGGCCAACAAAAGCAGCTTATATATGCAAAATTTTCCAGCTTACACACGAAAAGTTCCTCCCCCTCACAAGCTTAGTTGTAATTTATTGGCTTGATAAAAACAAATGAAGAAATAACAAGAAATTCTGCAATAAAACAAGGCAGCCAGCAAATATGCATTGTGCAAATTTGACTATGTGAAAATCGTTGCAAAATTGAAATGGTTATCGTTCCACATTCGGCTGGAGCTATTCCTCTCGGTTGACACACTTTCGGAACTGTGAAATTTTTCATTTACTTTGATTTGCTGCCAATATCTCTCAATCATCTCAAGGTAGAGCCGAAACCCCATTCCTGCGGTTTGTAATTTATGAACTTCTTCCCAGTGCAGTGGCTGGAATTTCACATTAGTTACCGTCCTTGGCAACATTTTTTGGCGAATTGTATGCAGCGATGCGTAAATTTCACTTATGAGCATGTGCCAGCCAGCACATGTGGCTTTTCCGAGAGGGAAAACCCAACCCGGAGCAGAAGGGTGCTCACAAAAATATTAAAAACGGCAAATCAAAGTGCTGCCTACATATTTTTGGGCAAATGTTTGCGGTTGGGAATGATCCTTTAGCTGGATTACTTTCATGTGGCTGCAGTACTCCTCAAATAAAAGAGAAAGCACTCTCGTTCCACTACTTTTTGTGTATTTCGAAATTAAAATGAATTTTCCGTTTCTTTTTTTTTTTTTTTTGTTTCGACAAATCACTTTTTTAGGCTAAATGTCGTGCATGAAAGGCGAACTAATTGAAACTGTCAGGGGTGATGGCTGGATTAGTGAATTGAATAATTCATTGGCCGGAGGCAAAATCAATTCAAATTAACAATTACATGGTAATAGTTTTTAAAAAGGTCGCTCAATTCACATGGCGGATAAAGACACAATATATATGCAATTGACGGTGGCTTTTTAATTATGCAAAAATGTTAGTTATGTATTAAATGCAATTATTGATATTTTTATCAATTTGGCGAGCAATAATAATTTACCATAATGGAGCTATTAAATGGTTAATTAATAGAGCACTTTGATGCGAATTAAAATGCATATCGGAAAATTCCTGGTCAGCATTTCCAGCTCAAAGTTCGTACAGAATGTGCAATAACAGAATTATGAATTTGTTTGTGCTCGATGATCTGGCTTTACGACAAGTTTATTGCAACTTTTTGCGCAGCACCCGCCCGGCGGAGAACTTATCAAAAACTTTCACGTTTATCATTTGCAAATATTATGAGTTTCTATGCAAGACACACACACACATTCGCATATAGGAATTCCCCAGCAAACGGAGGTCGGGCATTATGTTTTTGATTGCGAGTGCGTGGCGCATATGACAAAGCATCCACATCCACATCCACAACCACATCCAGATTCAGATTCAGATTCCGATTGAGATCCAGCATCCTTTGAGGAAGCCCCGCTGACAGTTGGCACCGCAAGGAATCCGTTGTGATTTCTGGCCATTACCGAAAGCAGCCGCGCTTATCTCAGCCAGAATGCAAAGACCCATGCGGAGATACATGTATCTATGCAGATACTTTTATCGCAAGTCGGGCCAATTCCTCAGGAGAAACTTTCAGCGCACAAGGATTGACAAAATAAATAAATATGAAAATTTACGGCAGAAGTTCGGGTTGTTTCGCTCCCCAGTTCCCCTGCTTCTCAGCTTCCCTGTTTCACTTAAATCGGTTTTCATGGTGGGGGGTTGTGGCTTTTAACTTTTGCTGCTGAATTTATTGAAAAATCGATTGTGGCATTAAATGCGGCATGCAAAAGGGAATAAGAATGCTGCCTACTGTGTCCCAAATCCTTTGGCTTTTCGGCAAATCATCTCGGCTTGCAGCTGCAAAACTGTGTTCCGGCGCGTGACTCCGTCGAACTTGGCCGGAAAATTTATGCAAAGCGCTGGCAGATACTTAAAGTTAACCCAAAGCCGCTGCAGCAAGTTTCCTCACGCCCTTCGACTTACTCATCGAAAGTTGGCGGTTGTCCCGATGATGGGTAGCAAATAGATTTGCATAAAGCTGGGAGCAATCGAAGGGCCAGTCACGCCCACAAGCGTTTCAATTGGATGCTATTTGTCCACGCCATTGTACTACAAATTAACTAAGCCCCTAAGCAGTTGGCAGCAAACCAACCAAAAACGCTGGCAAACAATGTGCAAATTAGGCCACAAAAACAAACCAGGGCAAACAAAACAAATCGAGAAGGTGGCGACACAAAACGCCGGTTAAACGCTTCGCCGCAATCGAAAATAAAAATCACGAAACACAGCGGAATGAAATCAAATCAAATAACGCTAATTCTAGCAAAGCCGATTCGGCCGCAAATTTAGCCAAATTTGCCAAATTAAAATAATTGCAAGACATTTTTACAAAATCAAATTCCATTTCATTTGATTGCCGATATCTAATTAAATCAGCAAAACCGCAAACGCGCAAGCAAACACACACAACACACAGGCGCACAAACAAGTGCGCAGGAAATAACAATTAAAATAATTATATTTGCATTAGCTTACATTAATGCGAACTCAAATTTAAAACTGAAACAATCGGGTGAAAATCTATACGCAGCCCATAGAATGTGGCCGCCGATAATCCCGGTGCCATGTGTTTGCCTTAAGTTGGGGATGCTCCTGCATAATTTAGGGGGGTAAATCGGTTAGCACCACCGCAGACGCACAAAGTTCTCAGCTGAAAGCCTCTTAGGGCAGGGCCACGCCCACTTAGTATCCCACAGCAGTACCCTTGCCCTTGCCGGGTTTTGTTAAAACTTTAAGTCAACTAAGCGGCTTACCTTTCGCACACACATTGCTCATACGCCACGTGCAACCGGGGAGAGGAAAATTTCAGTTTGGGCTTGCTTAAAACATACGCTTTATTTTTATTTCGGGATAATTTTCACTTAACCTATGTACAGTTTAGTATTAGTTTTAGTGTTAGTGGTAGTCGTAGCTATAGTTAATTTATGCACTCACTTTGTATACATTTATCAAAAATACAATAGTAATTATTCATGGTTATTCTGTACAGTTTTTTGAACGCCGCCTGCCCTTTTGACCCGAGACTTGATTGCCAGCGTCGTTTAGTTATGCCCTTTTCATCGTTAACGTTATCGGATAATGCCTTAATTATTTACAAGATGCCCGTACATCGCAGAGAAGCTCTTACATGCTGTACTGATACCGCACATTGGAAGCCAACTGGGAAATGGAGAGAAATAGAAGGAGATTTTTCAAGGGATTATTCCGATGATAGCTCACCTCAACGCCCACCAATCGTTCGTCGTACTCGCTGCTCGCCTGCATCGCCAACTTGGCCTGCGAGTGCATTATCGCGTCGGAGAGCGAGTCCCGCTGATATGTTGAGGAGCCCAGCATGCCGGGCACTCCGCCGGCGGATCCGTTGGACGGCGCCTTCAGGTGGGCGGTCTTGGTGCGGCAGAAGAACTCCACGATGGCCACGATCACCGCCAGCAGGAGTCCCCCAATCAGGACGTAGTAGATCCCGGCCACGTTGCTCAGCGACAGCTCGTTCGGCGTCGAGGTCTCCTGGTCCAAGTTCACGTTGCACTCGGTCTTGTCGAACCACCACTTCTTGCGGATCCGCGCCAGCTCACCATTGTTGTTCAGGGCGTGCACGGCTTCATTCAAGCGTTTTCTATATATTAAAAAAGTTTAAGCAAACAAATTAAAAAAAGTTCACAAAATAAAATACAAATGCAGCCTGTCATTAAAATTAATAGTATCCATGTTGTTATAGTTTTTTCTTAAATAAGTTTTTAAAATTTTTGAACCGACTAATGTAATTAAAATACCTCATAGCTTGTATTTTTTTGCAAAAAATTCTAAGCTTAACTTATTATAAGTAGTTTTTATAAACAACTACCTCAATGGCGATCCAAGGGGCGTGGCCACTCCGAATCCCTTCGTATCGATGTTCCGGCCCACCATCATTGTGTCGCACGGCGGCCTGGCATTCACGTACTCGTTCTTGGGTGACTCCAGCAGTAGGGCATACTTTCCCTTGGAGGTCCTCACCCGTCGAATGCCCTCCTCGTAGCTGGGAACCGAGTGCTGTTGGTTGGCGTTCATGTACTCCCACATCTTGTTGTGCAGTCCGTATTGAGAGCGCTGAAAAGGCACTCTTTTTTAGAGGGGAACCCAAGGGGGCAACTGGCTTTCGCACTTACCCTGAAGAAATCCCAAGTGGAGCCGTGCTTCAGGGTTCCGTAATCCACATCCGTTTGCATGGCCAAGTCCTCGGGCGTTTTAATCGGAGCCACCATGCGTTCCACTGTGAGAAAAGCGGCCAAGTTTGCGGTGTACGAGGATATCAGAATGATGGTGAAGAACCACCAAACGGCGGCTGCGATTCGACCGGCAATCGAAGGAGGTGTTAAATCGCATCCCTGCTGCATAAAAGCAGCCAAGGAGTACCAAAAGGAGTTTAGCATAGTGAACTCGTTTTCTGGAACTGGTGGCTGATGCGAATGCGGTTCGCTCAGCGTGGCGCCTCCAATAATTCCCGGTGGCTGTTGGGCAGAGGAATCCGCTTGCGGTCTTCTCACAATTCGCCATTCGTAGGGTGGAAATCGGGTTACAAAATACAGAACCATACTTACTCCCACATAGCTGAGGATTACACTTATCTGGAAATTATTTGTTTAATAAAGAAACTTACTTTTATTCAACTTAATCTAAAGCTTACCCAAATTTCTTCGGACAGAGGATTAAGGAAGCTGAAAACTCCTGGAGTCTGTTTCACTGGTTTCTTAATCATAATGGATATGCCCAAAGTCATGAAGGGCTTGCTAAAGTCGATGACCCGCTCTCTTTCCGCTGTGATGGTCATGGCCGCAATGGCTATATCCGCCTCCCTGCGAACAAGCTCACCCACCATGCCATCCCAGCCACCAGGAGCATATTGGTTTTCCGATCCATAGTTGCCATCTTGCACCAAACGCAGTTCATCTAAGAAAAAAATATAAATTGATTTTAAGAATTGGAAATTAACATATAATTAATCATTATATGTTTTATATATATTCATATGACGAATGAGTACACTTATTTATAAAAAAAATCTTTTATTTGCTATCTAATTCACTCACATTTAATTCCCAACTTGTCGGCCAGCATATCGGCCAGGTCCTTGCAGTATCCTTCGAAGCGATCGTTGCCCACCAGCTGTTCGCCGTAGCCGAATGGCCTGCGCTTCAGATAGGGCTCCTCCAGCAAACTGGTCACAATGTAGGTGTGGTTCCGGACGTAGTCGCCGGTGCTGGCGGACGCGGAACGCGATGACGACGCGTAGCTGCGGCTGTGCAGCGGAAGGAGTCCGGCGTCATCGCGCCACTCGGCCACCTGCTGCAAAGTGCTGTTCACGGACATCTCGACCACGTGCAGCGTGTAGTTGATGCGACGGCCGTCCTCGTCGAAACGGATCTCCCCCGACAAACCATCAATTTCCACCTGGGGATGGGGAAAACAAAAGGGAATAAAGGGTTATACACGGGAAGAAATTCATTTAAATATGCCACTAGTAATTAATTATCAAGTGAATCTTTTAAAACCTACTTAAAATTTGTATACAATCAAATAATTTTGGATTGTGTCACAAAATTAAAAAATTTATATGCCAAAGATTCGCAATTGGTTCTTAAATATGTCAAAGATTACTTAAAATCCATTTTAGTAATTATTAGTTGATTGGGTAATTTAAGTTGTTATTAATAGTTCCAGATTTAATTAATTACCTTTCTTAGCACCCTGGATATTTTCTCGCCCTGCTCCCAGGGCGTGACCCATCCCTTGTTGGTGTTGCAATCGAGAAGTGCGCCACTCGATTCGTTGGTGCCCGTGGCGGAGGAGGACGAACTGCCACCGTGACTGCGGCGCTGCAGATGATTGGAACGGAACTGATCCGGCTTCTTGCGCAAAATGCGATTGAAGGCCTCGACGAGCACGAAAACCGCATCGTACATCAGAGCCGCCTGAGCCTGCAAAAATCGAACGGTGGGCATAGAGGTGAGGAAAGGGGGGAAAACTGGAGTTGCAGGAGAAACAAATCAATGACGGTTGACAATTTACCGAAATGGCCGGCAAGCTGTTGGGCCCCGCTGCGTTCTGGCTTTGGCTTTGCCCAGCCGGCTCCAAACGTTTCCGGCTGTCGTGGAAATCACGCACCGCCCGCCGATTAGAGTCGACAATGCGAAAGCCGGTGATGTTGATGGCCCCGAACTCGACCACGTCGCTGGGCCAGTGGTTGTCCATGACCTACGACAGGAGAAAATCCGGTAAGAAAGGTTAAGTTCAGTGCAGCGAATTCGAGGTTCCCGGTACTCTGAAAATATGATACCCTACTAATCTAACTAAAAATACCTAAAATCGATTATATTTAAAAGCCGGTTCTACCTCTTTTTTAATTCACAACAAATTTATTGTTAATATTTACTTATATTTTCCTCGTAAAATGTCTACTAGTAATTAATAAAAAATGTTCTCGAATTGCTTTCTTGGATCAAAATCAAGTAACTTGTTTTAGAGCAAACTAATTCTTAAATCATTTAAAATATACATTTTTGGACCCAAAAGTCTTGCTCAATAATATTTGATAGAATCCAAAATACCCCAAAAATCCGCAGCTGCCGAATATATAAAGAGCTAGACCCCTGCCAAAAAAAAAAAAAAAAACAGTAAAAGAATCCCTGAAACGGAAGCCGGCAATAATTGCTTATTAAAGTCGCCCAGAAGCGGAAAACGGGGGCTTTGGACTGCGATTTGGGTGTGGGTTTCAGTTTCAGTTTGGGGTTGGGTTTGGGCTTCAACTCACCAGTCCGCTGAGAAGGTAGTGATAGGTGCGCCGGCCCAGCTTGATATCCCGCACATGCTGAACGATGATCTCTTTGGCCATTTCCGCCGGGCAGTCGAGCACAATGCGCTTTTTGCTGAAGCGCCCCAAATCCTCCAGCGTGTGCAAAAATTCAATGGCCATCGTTACGTTGGCGATGCGTTTCACCATTTGCACACGGAACGTTTCATTTCCGGGCTTCAGTTCTTGATAGATTTGCTGCAGCCGTAGTAAGCCTGTCGGGTTGGCCAAAGCGATTGTCGGTCAGTTGGACAAAGAGTGGCTATTGTGGCTATTGTGGGTGTTCTTCGGGTTAGTGGTGTTCTTAGTGGGTGGATTGGGGTTTCGGGGAAGGGGGGTCATAAAAAACAATCTGATAATGCAGCCGGCGGAGAGGTGGGCTTTGCGTTTTATGATAATGCCAGCAATCTATAAACAATTTCCAAGCTGAATGAAGCGAATTTATTCGAATAGATTTATCTCTCTCGTGGCAAGCATGTGTCATTTAATCATATTCTCGATTCTCATTTTTTTGCCCGCAGTCGCTGGCGAAGCTTTGTGCCATCTTTCAATCTCGCCCGTCCTTCCGAATCCCTCGCAAGCCGCAAGGACGAAGCACCCAGGAAAAAAGTATATATTTTCACACGCCATTTGTTGCACGTCCAATATGGCCCTCAATGTTGTTGTTGTCATTGATTTGCTGCCTGCATTGATTCGCCAAAAAAACCGAACAACAAAAAACCAAAGCAAAAAAAGCACAAGAGAAAAACAAACCATGAGGGGAAAAGCAGGAGCAGTAAACACTCGCGTGGAAAAGCGGAAACGGAAGTGCACACACAATTGAAGTACTTTTTTGTGGTGTGCTGGTAACATTTCAATAAATAGCAGCCCGAAAAAAATCCGCTGTGCGTTCTGCTGCGGGGGTGCTGCTGTTTTATTGAATGTTTCCTATAGCATCGAAGGATCGATGGGGTGTATAGCAATGGTAGTATCTCTCTTCGTATTCATGGATGCGCCAAAAAATATGCTACCAATTTGTCGCCGTGTGCAGCAGTTTCAGCCATTTTCCAACCAGAGTGATAACAAGGCACAAAAGGCGTTGTTGGGGCGTTGAACAAAGCAATAACAACAAACTGCTGACAGCGGCATTAAAATATAAAGTCCCGCTGTGGTCCTGCTGCCTTTTTTGTTAACAATGTAAGCGCCAGAGTCGAAGTCGGCCAAAAAAATGGAGTGGAATGCCCTCCTCCTCCATCTCCACCACTCTGTGGAGTGAAGCAAGTGGAACTGATGCTGCCGCTTTTGCTTTTGCTGCTGCTGCTGCTGCGGCATTTCCTTTTCCTGCAACGAATGCCAGAGGCAACAATGTCGGCCTACTTTTCGGCGCCGGGGCGAATATTAAAAAATGGCCCAAAAAGGCAAAATAATAATAATAATGTTAAGGCAGAACTCAGTGCTCAGCAGCAGTTGCATGAAGTCATAAATTTTATTTCACACAGAGTCATTAACACATGACACACACACAGACACAGACGCGCACGCACACATGAACGGGCTTACAATGGCGTGTGAACTCATTATAAAGGGAAAGAGAGAGACAGAGAGAGAGAGAGAGAATAAAATAGAGAGGCAGAGGAAAAAATCACTGCGGCGTATACGTAATATGAAATTTTTCAAGAGCCTCTGTGTGTGAGTGGTGTGTGTGTGTTTGTGCGGCGGTGAGCCTTTTGCTCCATCTGATGTCTTCATCTTTGGCCGTAATTGTTGCCGTCGTCGTATTGTCCCACGTAGACGGCAGGAAATTGCTTTGAAATAAATTTCAATACAACAAAAAGCTGCCTAAGACCCACACACACGCCGACAAAGTATATACACACACAAGGAGCGGGTAAATTGAAGCATATGTGTGCGCTATACACGCCTGTGTGTGCGTGTGTCCTTCTCCTGGCTGCTTAAGCCTGTTGAGGAGCCACTCGAAAGAGCGCTCTTCAAGGCACTTGAGCTCCCTGTCTGCCGAGCTTTTCCCTTCTCCTCCGTTTTTTTTTCCTAGTCGGCGCACGACGCTCTTTGTGCCGCTTATTTAATTACATATTAGCAGAAATGAAAAGACACGAGCTCGAGGTCGCAGGATTAAAAAATAAAGTGGAGCAGAGCCAACACATAGAGAAAGGATAGTTAATATGAGCACAGACGAGTTTGTATAAATTAATTATGAGATTTGAAGTGAGTAAAAAATAAAAATTACTTTTTGCTTCAAACATTTTAAATAAACCAAACTAAAGAGATAATAATTCATGTTCGTGCTTAAAATTATTATTATTAGTTCAAAATTCATTAAGTACAAATAGTTACATAAATTAAACCGCTTATTATGCAAGCTATAAGTTAAAGCCAAGAACACTTCACTCAACCCTCGCAGCGACGCACTTAATCCCAAGTTGAAACATTGCCATAACCGCTACTTAAATCCACTCCCACCCGATTGACGCCTTATTTGTTTATGGCAAATGAAAGTCAAATGAAATGAAATCGAAACACAAAGCAACCAAATGGGCAAACAAACAAGGCCGGGAAGATAATGTGTTCCTGTGTGTGTGTGGCTGGATGGTTTGGAATGGAGTTCGTGTGGGGGAAATATGAAATGGAATGGGGCCGTGTGTGTGTTTGGGGGTGTTGGGGTTAACTCACCATCGTGCGAGTCGTAGAGATAAATAATGCTCTGCCAGCCGTAGTACTGGATGGTATCGATAATCGCCTGATGATAATCCGGACGCATGCTGATAGCGAAATCCAGCAATCCCGACGACGGTGTGAGCACCTACAAGTATGCAAAACAAAACCAGGGCCTCATGAACTCGCTGTAACAATGTAATGTGCACGCTACATGAAGCAATAATAAAATGAAACGCGTTTCCGCTTTGCGCCCCGCTAGCGACATGTAAGTCTATGGGGGTTGATAAGAGAGGAGGTGGCGGAGGGGCGCCAGAGGGGTCGGTAAGGCGACGCCAACAAGCAGATACATCCAACGAGATACACACAGATACCCGTTTCCGTTTAGCCCAACATACACAAACACAGAGGGAAAACAAAACACTAAACTGTGAGTATTACCAATTTTATAAATGATCTCAAAATTCAAACAAATATTTAAGCCCTCTGTTTATAGCTAAAAGATTCCCCAAAGAATTTATAAAACGTTTTTAAAGCGCAAAATATTGTAGAGATTTAAAAAACAGGTTAACTTCTCTGGTTCCTCAACATGAAAAAGATTCAGCCAATTCGATACATAATAGATATTTTTGTATCTGAAGATCTTATAATTCTCCTTTAAGTGCTTGCTTTATTTTAATTATAAGTTTTTAAATGTCACGCTTGTAAGATATTTTAGTAAAACTTTATTTATTCAGGGCCCTTTTTTTCTCAGTGCATGAAGGACTGCCCCGAGGAGCACGCAAATGCGCAGTCAATGTGTGTGAATCTCGGTATGTGCGCTGCTGTTTTGCTGGCTGAAATGGGAGTAGGAGTCGTAGCCAGAGTCAAAATCGGATGCCCGGGCTCCTCTGGCGGATCCTCTGACTTGGCCCCCATCCGCCATATCTTGATTTATAGTGATTGAAATAAAAGAGGCCAAGAGCGTGTCATAAATTTTTTCGCTCTCAGTGTAGGAGTTGCTCCTCGTTCGCCGCTCGTTTGGCATTGTCTTCCGCCGGCGGAGCGTTTGGCTTTCTGTTTCGCAAGTGACAACAACACTCACTACAACAACAACAATAAGAACAATAACAACAACTAGAGCTCGCACTGGCTGTCCGCTTTGTTGCCGTTGGTAGTAAATTTTCTTCAAATTACAATTATTATGATTTGTGCTTTGGCTTTGATTTAGTAGTGGCCTGTCTGGGGGCACGGCGAACACACAATTGGGAACTGTGTGAACTGTGAACCCAGTACGACACCCAGAGCTCCACTTTATGCAATGACTTCATTTCTACACAACGGATAAAACGGTTTGGGATTAACTGGGGGCATTCTTTTAGCGATGTGGGTGTTGCGACCCCCAGCTAATGTGATTGGTAATTGAAAATCTGAAAATGTTTGGAGACCCTTAGATGTGTATTGCAATAAAAACTGTTCAGGCCGACAAAAAGGGCTGAAGGTTATAAAATATTTTTACAATTCCTACGTGCCTTTGTCCTTATCATTTTAGACTTTGGGTGTCGTGACTGGGTTTCTTATTATTTTATAAAAAGTTAATACAACAGCAAACATTTCCATAACAATTATATACTTTTTTAAGATCCTTAAGTTAATGAATTAAATTTATTTTAGTTTTCAAGTTTATGTATCTTATTAAGGACCTTAAATCGTATTTCTTTTCCACTCAATTAAACCTTTTGTTTGCTATCATTTCCCTTTTGTCAAGTTTTCGACTTTATTAACCAGCAAAGCTCATAATTAAATATTGGACTACCGCCCTTCTGTTCTAATACGTGATGGCACTTTGAAAACTATCCCTTTGTGTCGGCAACCTTTTGGCCAACTTCATTAACGCATAACTGAGTTAACGAAGCCTCCCCCAGCCACCCAAACTATCGCTCACAGCAAAACCGCAAAATGTAAATAATTGCGCACAGCGACACTGAAATCAATTACATATGACAGGTTTTTTTCCCTCCTATATAGGACTTACCTTCTCGGGAAACCAGGGCGTCACAAATGGCATTTGGAACGTATTCGAGTAGGAGTGCAATGTGTCAAAGGAGTCCGGCGATACGGCGCCCAGCATTGAGTAGACTCCGCGCGAGAATTGATTGCAAACTGGAGGTTACAGTAATAAATTCGTTTTGTGTTTGCTTCTTTTTTTCTCTTTCGTTTTCTTTTCAGTGGTGGAGTGGGTGGAAAATTGATGGTGGTGCCGAGTGAGTGGGTGGGAGGTGGAGATGGAGCTGAAGGTGGGAATTGGAGACAGTGTCTAGGTCGGGAGCAGAGTGCGCACAATTAAATTGCAGCTTTGAGTGCGGAGTGGAGACGTAAAGTAAAACCAATTTTCAATAAAAAATGCACATAATTAATGGGGCACCATGTATTGTGTAATGGTTGTTTCATTTCTTGTGCAGGTTTTCTGAGCAGGATGATGGGATGTTGGAAAGGGGGCTGGATGCACGATAAAACACACATACTCAGGCGGGATAATTTGAATGCATCCGCTGTATTGATGACATCGACGTACGCCTGCAGCTCGAATCGTCGAGAGCTCACATTCAGATTGTGATTGAGCATTGCATATTTAAAGGCTGATTGCACATCATCCGTGCCCTGTTCGAAGATCGCACCTGCGGGGGATAGAAAAAAAAAAACGGATGGATAAAAAAATGTATAAATGTGGGGGTGGTAAGTTCAGCTGGAGGCGAATATTTTTGCTTCGTTAAATATTTAGGCAGCTTTTGACACGGTCCTGTTAATATTAAACGAAAAAGCGCACAGAGCAAATATGTACACAAATGATAGCATAATGTCACACCCACCCACCGACACACCCACCTGCAGCTCACACAGATACCAACACACACACACACACACATACAGACGGAAGACAAGCCGCCACGACAGGCAACAACAAAAAGCGCAAACGAAGTGTTGATGCAGCAATTTTATGCTGCGCTTTTGCATGGCACCTGAACAGGTAGCACTACTAGGTGGCAAGTTGGTCTGGTGGCAAGGTGGCTATCCCCACCCCATAACATCCCTTTCCTTCCTTTCCTTTCCATTACAGTTCCATTGCAGTCGCCATGGCGAAGCCTGGATTTGAGTGCAAGCCAGTCAGCATGACTGTCACATTAGCAGCCACCAACCAGATCTGAACGTATATATATTCACACATATATATATATATATATAGATGTGGATGTGGCAGGGTGTTTCGGGGGCAGAGCGCCAAAATGACTGCAGGTGCAATGACTGAACACCATCGTGTAATAAAAATAAGGTGGCAAAAAAAACCAGGAAAGCGTTAAATAAAATGTGGCGCAACTAGGCAAGTTCTTGCCGGGACTTTCGACTCCATATCGTGAATACGGAAGGTGGGGAGATTTTAAATGCAACGAATTTTAAAGCCGGGTTGAGTGGGGCTTTTAACATCTTGAATAAATTGCTTCATATTTTTGGAAATGTGTAACGATGAACTATAAATAGGTGAAAATTAATAATGACTATGAGTGGAAATTGGTTAAAGAACATAAGAGTAAAAACTGATAACTACAATACAAATTTAAACCGATTTAAAATAATAGTATTATTTAAATATAAATATATATCAAATTTAAATTAAGTCATGTCAAAAAGCATTTTCAACATAGAAAAGGGTTTTGTATCTATAGTTTGATTGCACTTGCAAAACTTCATTGAAAATAAAAGTCTGCTTGAAGTTTTAAAGATTAACTTTATGGGAAAGTCAGGAAACGAAGAATCAAGCAATAATAATTTCAATCGCTGCCCTCATTGTTCAAACATTGAAAAGAAAATCTCATTTTCCACGTGAGAAGTATATTGAACATAAAATTCAACTAAAAATCATGCAGCATACTTTGTGCGAATGACGACAAGGCTGCAGATGGTCGGGGATAATCTTCGGGCATCAGCCATACCCAATTTCCCCAACGAGCCATGGGAGGAAGCTGGGAAATGCTTTCCCGGATTCGGCAGGCAACACACAGCAAAGGACCTTATGCGGGCAAACAACAACAAAAGCAAAAACAACAACAACAACGGGAGCAGGAGCAGGAGCAGGAGGAGCACAATGTGGCCAAATCCGAGCTACAAGTGCAGTGTAAGTGACAATTTCTGCACCGGAGTCCTGGCCCTTTTTCGACAGGATCCCAGAATCCTTTGGCGACGCTTCGGAGACTCACCTAATGGTATTTTCTCGGTTAACGACGCCGACTGTTGTTGCTGCTGCTGGGCTGCGCTGAATTCTGGCCAGAAAATGCTGCTGGCGCATATTAAATGTAAATATGCCAAGAATTTTAGCCTCGAATGCATTTTGCAGTTTGCTGTAACTATTTCGCCAAGTTTTTCCACTTTGAGTTTCGAGCACAATCAAGTGTGTTTGCTGGTTAAATTGGTTTTGCCATCACGCAAAAGACTTCACGTTATCCGGTGTTGTTGTAATTTATTGACTACTTGTTAATTTCCTCAATTTAAGTTTTATGAATAGCTTTATTTGGTTTGTTGCACTGCTTTTGTTTGTTTGGCCAACTTTCACTGCAGTTTATGATTAGCCCTTGTTTATTTTGGCAGCTTTGTTTAATTTCACTATTGTTTGTATTTATTTATTTGCAAGTCCTTAAGAACCTGACTATTTTTCGATTATTATTTGCACAGGCCCTTCTCACTTTAATTCGTGTGTGGGTTCGACTGACTTTAACTTCGGGTTCGGTTGGGGATTTCCCTCTGCCGTTTCCCAAGGAATCGGAAAATCACCACTCGCCACTGTTTATCCGCTCAATTCAACCAAACGGCAACGCGTTGTAATCAGCACTAAAAACTCCTAAGCTGGCCAGTAATACGAGGCTCCGGAAAACCCCGGCGACACGGCCACAATGTCGCTTTGTGGTCCGGGTTACTGGGAGCGTGAAAAGCCGAGAGAGAGTCGCCCAAGGGATGCTGTGCTCTTTGTGCTAAAAAAAGCCACAGATTTTCCGACTCTCCGCGGTCTGCAAAGCCAGAGAGAGTGAAAATGAGCGGCAGAGGGTAAAAATGAGAGCCGGATGCTGTAACTGACCTACTGCATTTTGGCCACCACACAAGTTGCAGGTTACTGGTTAAATGTTTGTTTACGTTATGCCTGCGTTTTTGGGCTGCATAATTGATAACAACAGCTTGGCAGGAGGCGCCGGAAAAGTGGGCGGGCAGCCATTTTCGGGTTTTTCCTTCCCTCTCTCTCTCTCCGCCCGCCGCGTTTTTATTTTGTTGGTAATTACGAATGATTTGGACGAACAATCCTTTTAACAAATCTCATTACGTTGTCAATTACGCGCCATTACGAAGAACGCGGCCCGGAGGAGCGACTCTTTGGCTCTCGTCGCACTGAAATCTCATTAACAGGCTTTAATTTTCCCAACAAACTTAAGTGCGCCGGGAATGAAGGAACTCATCCTGCGGAATTTCTAAATAGGGATGTTATAGAGAGCTGAGCTGGAGAATCTTTGAAGTTCAAGATGTTTTTATAGGGAGCAGTATTATTTATTGTTTACTAGCCAATTTTTTTTATAGGAAATTGTGATGTTGTGCTTTCTACAAAAAAGCATCTTACTATTACATAGTTCCTATCATTAAATCTTTGAGAATCTTTAACTTATCATGCACATTATTATTTTTGATTGGAGTAAATAATATACTTCTGAATGCTGTTAAATTTAGCTAGGTAGCAAATAATTATAATAGAACAATAGAACAATTAAAAGACAAAAATGTTTGAAGTTATCATAACCAAAACTAGGATCCCAGCTCTAATAAAACAATATTTAAGGGAGATCCTTTGCCATCTCTAGTGCTAGCTGCTTGCCCATATTGTCGAGTTCTCGTGGCGTACGATTTCATCATAATCTGTAATTAGTTTATAATGCGCACAGGAAATGCTGGCGATAAGCCCGCGAAGAAGCGGAGAACAGGACAATGCCAACAACTCCTGACTTAACCTTTCAGTTATATGGCAAACTGCGATTAGGGGCCAAGTCGATAAACATAAAAGTTAATGGTAGAATTTTTTAATTAAGAAAATCAATGAATATTTTTTCTCGTACTTCCGTGTTTTTTTTTTTTTTTTTTTTTCTCCCTTTTCCTTGACTGCATTATGGGTATTTTGCTGTTCAGCTCTTATTGCCTTTTCCTCCACTTCGGATGGCACCATTTTAACATTTATGACTTGCGATTTTCACGACTCTCCGGGATAATGGAAGGCTGGAGGAGATGAAAAAAACGTCTTTGGAGTGATTTCCTTTTTTATATTTAATAAGCTCGAAAACAAACTTGCTGTCGTCCAATTATTTAATGCAAACGTCTATAAATTTTAATTGCCCTTTTTTGTGCGCCCCGGCTATTTAATTATGAATCACAATTTATGCGGCCGCCTAAGTCAACAAAGTTAAAGCGTTTAATTAAATCGAAAAAACAGGAGCGCGCTTAAAGCCGCAACAAAATCAAAGCCGCAAGTACAAAGATAAATAAGTGGCATTGTCGGTTTCATTTCCGGCTGCAACATTTGCATTCAAATCGCTGCGGCTGTGTGGGAAATACTGTCTGTGTCTCTATCTGTATCTGTATCTGTGTGTATGTGTGTGTGTGCGTTTCGGTGTCGTTGTAAGCGGTATATAAGTAGACTCCCAACTGGTTTTATATTTAGGCGTTTGCCTCCGCTAAAAGCACAGAAAGAAAGCAATAAAAAGCAGCACGCCGCGACTGCGAATCCAAGGCGAAGCCGATGGAGTGAGTGGCCTTCGTTTTGGGGGAGGAGATGGGTGGCACTTTGTGGGTGGCACTCCCGCTCAACAGCAGCTGTCGCTGCCGTACCGCCCACCCCTCGGCTGTATTGGCTGCCGCGAGTTGGCCTCGACTGTCTTTCAGTTTCTCACTTCATCAGTTACGCCAAAAAGGAGACTCCACAATAAATTTCGCTGATTGCTTCCGTTCTTTTTTTCGGCTGCCCCTTCGCATCTACGCTGGCTCATTTTTTATGCTGCTTGATAAAGTAATATCCGTTTTAGGTTCACTCGGTTGTAGGTCCCGCCAACTAGACCTCACGGCACTTTTGCGGACTTTACAATACCCTCCGGGCCCCAAGAAAGTGGTAGAAAGTCGAGTTGGGTAGTTGAAGGGTGGGTAATAGGACCTAAAATGCAAATATTAAGTCTGTGTAAAATATTTAATATTGCAAAGCTGTTGCCAACCTTTTTCAAACTTCAACCACTTTAAAGAAAATCTTTTGAAATAGCCAATTAAATTTTGTTTTTAAATTTAAAAACGAATAACCATAGCTCCAATGAAATAGTGAGTGTGTGTTTTATAAAAACATAAAACACATTAAATTTCTTTTGAGAAGTGAAAGATAAAATCAATGAACGTATAAATTCAATTAAATAGGTTGGTTCATTTTATCTGGGTAAATCAACAGTTTTAAATTAAATTAATTAACCATGTTTGCAAATTGGGCTCGATTAAATTTAAATTGATATAACAAGCTTCTTAAGAACTTTTTAAAAGCAAATTTTATCCATTTAATTACACATCAAGTTAATCTATAAAGAGTGAAAGGTAATTAAACTCACATAATTCTTTACAGCTTATTGTCTACTTTTTAGATGAGTACAGTTTGATAAAAACTTCGGAAGTACCCCGAAAACCGCAGTTGCCTTAACTCGAGCTGAATAATTAAGGGGTATTAAGTACAAGGTATACAAAAAATGTCAGTTGCTGCAAGTAATGTTCCAACTTTGGGCTATAATTTGGTGCTCCATTCCCACTCCGCATCTCCTCGCTCCCAGACTGCAGCAGTTTTGCGGGTCTAACACAGATTTGTGGCCTTGGTTGTTGGTAGAGAGTTCGGTGGCCCATGGGGCGTATGCGTCATATCAGCACACGCATACGCCGTGTAGGTCAATGCTGTTGGACCAAAACGAGAACCATTGCCACTGCCGAGTGTGTGTGAGTGTGTGTGACTCTAACCATGTGTGTGTGTAAGTATGCTGGTGTAGGTGTAATTGAAACTTCCGCTTTGGTCAGTTAGCGCAATTTAGCAAGCTGCAAAAAAGTTAGGCACGGCTGAAGTAACAGGCAAAGTGCAAAGTCCATTGCAGCTACTTGGCTTTCATTTCAATTTAAACTTTGGCAAACCAACCAGCACATACACACACGTGCCACAAAGGGGCAGGCAGACAGGGAGAGTGAAAATTATTTAAAATGATTTATTTCACAACAATTTTCATTAGGTGGCCAACTGCAATGCGGGTTGGCTCTCTTTGGCTTTCCCCCATTTTTTCATGGCTCCGCACTAATTCACTTTTGCTGATTTCTGTGAAAAAATATGCGAAAAATGCCTTGAGAGGTTCGGTCGGAGGGGCATGGCGGAGCGGGGTGGCATGCCCCACTCATGTTTCATATATGAAATAATTATATGTGCGGTCAGCAGAGTCGCTGCCAAAAGGCCGTCGACTGGCTGCGGGCAGTGCAGCATTTTCGCTGGCAGTTTCTAAAAAAATATAGAACATTTGCGGCACTGCTACATGCTCCATGTTCCTGCTGCATAACTTTTGGGGAGATTTCCCTTGGTCGAGGGACACGCCCCCCCCGTTTTGCCGCCCCCAGGGCCACTGTCATCGTCTGTGTGGAAAATTAGTGGCAAGCAAGATGCAAGCCGGAAAAAAACGGCAAAGGAAAACGCAACTGGCTAAAGGTTAACAAGCGTCAGACAGGCCAGCAGCAAGTCCTGGGAATTACCCTCCCAGCTAAACAAAAAAAGAAAGAAAATAAATAAAAGAACTTATAATTTTTGGCCACCACACACAGAAACCGTAAAAATGGGGGAATAAGAGTCTGGGCCAAGGAGGAATGTTAATGAAAAGCAAGCGTGAAATAAAATCATAAATTTTCCAGCGGGGGAGTGAAAAATGCGAGTTTCCACTGCGGGTTTGTTTTGTTATTATACGGCATTTGTATGCACATGCCAGCGAGATGGAGAGTTGGAGGAATACTTACAGCCAGAGCATTGGGGATTGGACTCGGGTGAGTGCATTTGTGGTAAGCCCCCGAATGCATACAATGATAATGTTCTACTTGGCGAAAGTGGCAGTATGTGTGTGCGGTTTGGCCAGCATTTTCCGCCAGTGAAGTCCTGCCCAGAGTCTAGACTTGGTCAGCTAAGCTGGCGATGCGGATTTAAGGGGAATCCGCGGGGAACAGGAGTGCTGATGAAGTTGATGAGGGTTAGGGTGAACAAAAGTGAAAGATGGGCTTGAGATGGGATGAGATGAGATGTGTGTATTTAGGAAAAGTTGAATTAATAACTTACAATCCTGGAGGGTTAAGATTGTTCTTTTATGTTCTAGCCATCGTCACTCAAAGAACTTGAAACCATCGAAAAGAATTACCCCTTAAAATACTTGTCAACATATTTTGAGCTTTGAGATGGTTTGAAACTTGGCTTGTCTGACATACACAACCTATTTTGACTCAAACCTTTTTGTGAGCTTTGTCTGGCATTCGTTACTATGCTAAAATCTCAATAAAAATTTGAAAGTAAAATAAGGTATATAATTTGTTTAATTTCCCCAAAATAATTAAGGCCACAAAATATTTTAGAAAATGGTGTACATCTTTATTATTTGTTTAACTACTTTTTGTTGAATGTATTTCTCTTTTGTGGTTGATGCTTTGCTTCATTGATATTTATTTCGCACTGGAATTTGTCTTTTTCAGCCTACAAAACGTGTGGCAACTTAGGAGAAAACAATTCGAGGCGACATTTGTTCTAAACATTAACTAATAAAATGCATAAATCTGTTAACAATTTGTGTGTTTTCTCCACTGGTGTGCTTACATAAGTAATTCGCTATGATTAATGCTAATCTGATTGTTATTGTTATTTATGCGATTTAGCTATAGCACTTCGTTATAGGAGTTAAAGCCAAGAACCGAGTAACGGCAACATAGTTCTGATTTCAACGCATTTCTCTCTATATATGGCGTATATATAGTATATGTGTGTATCGTGTGAATATGAATGCTCGTGAGTGTATATATAAATTCCATTTGTCGACAATTGCACAACAGTTAAAAGTATAGTAAACAATTAATAATAATGACTTTAGCTATGGCCGGGCCCAAATACGATTTGCACTATAATTTTTGTGTGTTGATTAACTTTGATGTACTTTGTGTGTGAGATATCCCTAGCAGTATGCAGTAATTTCCTAAGTTCTGTAATTAATTTTTACTTTCATCGGTTTTATTTTTGGTTTTGTTATGTTATGTTATGTTTGTATTTTGAGTCCAGCTACAAAACGTTGCATAAAGTTGTATAAAAGTTTTGGTATTTCCATTGTTTCCATTTGACTAGCGAGTAAATACAAAAACCCAATCGATTCGCAGGCGACAGTTCAACCTACACGCACCGCATATATAATATCTGCGTGTATATAAATAACACTATATAGTATTGTTAGAAACGGCTGCTATAAAATCACTGCCACGGTAATGGCCATTACTTGTCCTTGTCCCCATAAGACTAACGTAATCGTTAACGTTAACTCTATGTATAAGTAATTCATAAGCGCTAATATTCGTTTAATGCAACAAGTCTATGTGGGATCGTCATCTCATCCTCCGTCGTCTCTATGGAGATTCCCGGATCCGTTTCCCTCATCCTCGTCCTCTGCCTCTGCCTCGTCCTCGTCCTCATCCTCATCGTCCTCCTCCTCGTCCTCGTCCTCTTCCTCCTCGTCGGACTGCTCGGATCAGTCGAATATGCAGACGAAGACGCGCAGACAGTTCATTCCGACCTTCTCCCAGCATCCCTCCTCCGTGGGCCGACCGTCGTGGGCCAGCCTCATCTTCTTGGGATAGTTCTTCGGACTGCTCCGATCGCTCAGATGCACGGGCATCCTGGCATATTCGGCGCGGGGCTGGCGGAACTTCTCCAGCAGCTCCGCCTGCTGATCGGTGAGGTTCTTCAGCTTTTTACCTGCAATCAAATAAGGGAAAAGGTTTTACTCGGGAATTCCAGAATCCAGTAAACGAAAGGAAGTATTAGTCGCCTTTCTGCTGATATTATTTTATCTACATTGTTTACGTTTATAAAAAATTAAAGCTGAATAAAACGGTTATCGTATACAGACACCTTATCATACAATACTCAATGATCGCTTTGAATAAACTTAAAAAAAGCAATAAAGAGTTTTACACTGTGTTATGTAGATTGCATATATTAATGATTCAACAAACGGAACGATAGTTATAATATTATTTTTTCATACTGAATAATTATGCTTGAAGAAACAATTAAATAAAATTCATAATTTTGTTAAAATAAATATCTATCAAATCGTGCAAATAAAATTTAACTTGTTAATGCAGTTTTCTCTCGTTAACTTTATAAAGATTAAACATCTTTCTATGAGGTTCACTGAACTGTAGCTGCAGATAAGACCACTATTTTCACTTCGCGGGTTGACTCACCCTCGAGAGCGTCGCTGATGAGTGATATCTCCGTGGGGGGCAGTAGTTCTAGGCGGTCGCAGCAGCGGCGGAATTCGCTGGCGGTCATTCGCAAGTAGCGTGGCGTAAGGCAGAGCGGTCCCAAGACAGTTCGCCGGTTTTCCGGCGTGGCGTCGATCTGTTTGCGGGCACACTCCGCCAGGCTCCACGTGGCCAGGCACTCGAACAGCGTGACCTCCGACCTCAGCTGGAGAGTGTCCCTCTTAACGAGGGTCTCCAGCTCCTCGAATCTCAGATCGCTGATCTCGGGCATCGAGAGCTGCAGCTCCGCGTGCATGTCGATCAGCTGGAGTGTGTTGTGCAGCAGGGCCACTCCGTAGTCCTCGGTGGTGAAGGGATTCGGGTTCGGAATGAGGTTAAGCTGGGCTCCATCGCCATCGGAACCGTTCTCGGTGGCCTGGGCTGCCTTGGCTGCCGCCATCTGCTTGGCCGCCGCCTTCGCCTTGGTCGCCTTCTTCCTGGCCAGCTGCTGACCCGTCTCCTGGGTGGTGATCACCGTCTGGTGCTGGTTGGTCAGCGCGATGCCCTGGTAGAACCACAGCGCCTTGAAGATGTCCAGCGCCGTGGCACTAGAGATTCGGAGATCGAGCTCCCGAATGCAGTAGATGATCTGTGAAAAAGATTAGGGGATAAGATATTAAATTCATTGGGTTGTATTCTGAATATTCTAGATTGTGGTTATCATAAATATTTGTATTTGAAAACTAAATATTCATATTGATTAGTTTTCCCATAAGATTAAGTTCAAATTATTACAATAATTTGTATATTATGAGGCGTAGGGTTTTTTACTCCACTACCTATGATTAATCAGTATCGATTAATACCTATTTTTATCTCCAATAATGTTATGTAATCTCCACTCACCAGATCTGGAACATTGAATCGATCGGACAGCTCGAGTATCTTGAGCAGGTGCTTGTGATCGCGATAGGGAATGAAGTGTTTCTCCATGTAGCGGACGATCAGCTCGAAGTCGTTCTTGTCCACGTTGAGGATCTGGAAGTGGTTGTCGCTCTTCCGCCCGCTGTTGGGACCGGCGTGAATCAGCTTGGCCAGCTCCACGCTCCTCTCGAGAACCGATTTCCGTTCGCAGCGGATCATGTAGCGATCGTCCCCATTCACCACGATGAAGTCGATGTAGGGATTCACGATGATCGGAACGCCTGTGTAGATGTTGGTCTGACCCCGGGAATAGGCGGGTGGCATCATGTGGGCAGGCGGGGCACTGGGCGCCGGAGCACTCTGTATGGCGTCCACGTGGTGGCCATCGGGTCCAAGTCCAAACGGTAGCACCATCCTGTTCAGCTTCCACTTCTCGTTGTTGTTACTGATGATATTGGTGCTGTCCTTCGGATCTGGTAGGTCTTTGTCCTTATCCTTTGCCTTATCCTTTTCCGATTCCCTTTCCCTTTCCTTTTCCCTCTCCCGACGCCGCAGTGCCTTGTGGACCAGGGCGCCCACCAGCGGAAACTTGGTGATGCGCTTTTCCTTGACCAGCTGCTCCTCCAAATGGGCGTCGATGCGTCGCTGGCGGTATTTGTTTCCGGGACGAGGCTCTAAGCTGTCCTTGTCGTGGAAGGCAGTGATTTTGTTGGAGAACTGAAAGGAAAACAAAATAGTTTGTGGTTAGGCTTTTATGATAAAAAACTAGATATGATTGCCAAGGAAATAATAAATAGAAGTCTACCTACCAAGTAAGAAAATATTAAATAGAATGAATAAATCGCATTAAATAAAATAAACAGTCTTCAAAGATTTCAAACTTAATAATCATTAGTGAATAATAAGTATAGTTTGCAATTTAAATTAAAAAGGTTTGACTGCCATACGTTGTGTTGAACTTTTTTAACTTGTTTGCTGTTTAATCTTAAATTAACACTTGTTGATGTCCTACTATATTAGTTCTGAATTACAAGTTAAAACAGCACAACGCTCTAGTTTCAAGTACCAAGGCTTAATGTGGCTCCAACTTAGAGAGCTTGAAGAACAGGGCGCTTTCTTTCATATCACAAATTTTCCGTGGGAAATACATTCTTTATCTCAGCCGAACGGTGGATATTATTTACGACCCTTCATAATGACCAGTTAGTCACGCCAAACGGGCGACGATTTCGCCACGCTAAGAAATCTATAATTGTTTTAATGGGCGTTGTAAGTAAGTACTTTCCCAACTGACTGATTGATTCATTGGGCCGCTTATCAGTCGATTGGCACACTTCAGAGCATAAATCGTTTAAAGAGCTAAGCAGCCTTTAATCGCTGATTTTTGCACTCGACAATAAATTAGGCCTGCTATCTGAAAGTAAATGCCGACTAATTAAGTAACCAGCCGAGCCCCAAGCCAATTCGCTGGTCACTTTTTCAGTTAGCATATGTTCTAATCGTTTGATTGCCACCAACTCGGCTGCAATCCATCATACTATAGCCATAAATCATGTCCCATATCGAAAACGGGTGCACTGCTACCAATTCGACAGTCGAATTCCGCGCGTGATGTTTTAATTCCCCCTAAAATATCAACCAATGATAGGGACAGTTGGAAGTACAAAAACGAAGAAAAAGTCATAGTGATTTAGTTATCGTATCGTCGCAGTACTTAAGCAGTACTTAATCAAATTTACAAATACCTTACCGTTTCTAAAGCCAACTTAATTCTTCTTTTTATTTTACTAAGTCTTTAAAGACACATTATTTGAATAATAATGGTAGAAAAAGATTTAAAGAAATATGGTATGAATACTTAATTAGCTATCAAGTGTTGGCATAGGCTTTTTAATTAGTTTCTAATGGAATTTTGATGTTTTGTTTTAACATAACATTGCTGGATTGATTACATAAGAACTTTCACGTGGTTTCAATATTAAAGGTTGGTTAATAAAAACCCTAAAAATAGGAAGCCTTTAAGGGGCTTGAAATTGATAAGATTTGTAATTCGATATGCGCCTATTATGGCCAATAAGTAAAGTAGATACAATAAAGTTGAACAGTTTTTACCAAAACATTTTTAGTTTTCTGCTAAAATAGAAATTTAAGTTATCTAGGTTCGGCAACATATGTGATTGGATTAACAGCTCGATCTACCCTTTTATTTGATAATGTTTTCCCTTGAACCCCACAAAGAAATGCCTTTTTATGAATGGTAAACACTAAGCAGAATTCAGAGAAAAGCATTCTGAACCAAAACGTTTGTTCTTTCGGAGTTTGATTTGTAGTTCCTGTTCTTGTTATTGCCGTAAGTACAATGCAAACAAAATTAATTGTGGCACAGAAAGATTGCGAGCAAATTCGTAGCGGTGCCACAAGCAAATAAAAAAAAGAGTGTGTGGGGAAAATGTTAATAAAAATAATGAATTATATGGCGGTGTTTGAACAGTTGTAAGGAAGACGGAATCGGACTTGAAGTGTTGTCGACTCTGTGACCGCTGCTTGTGGTTCAGATGGAGACCGTAACGCCTGATATTTAAATATTTACCAACGGAACCTCTGGGAGAACTGTGACGACTTGTGATAGCCTGATAGTGCAATAAATTAATTATCGTGTGCAAATAAATTTATGGCTGTTCACGGCTTTATCATCTGCACAGCAACCGCAATGGGAGTTGGGTTTTATGTAAAGCACAGGCAACGAATTAGCACTTCCTTTTGTTTATCAGCCTGCTCTATATAATATTTTTCAGGGCGTAGGAGGGTTATATTTTGATAAAAAATAAATCAAATTGAGACCCAGACCTTGCAAACGCGCGTTCTTGAACTTTACAACGCTCATGTCACTCGAATCGAATCACTATCTGAAATTATCATTTATATCATGCACTTCTTACACTTTATTTGTTGCTGTTCTGCTTATCGGCGAATGGCCCGATCCATCAATCAATCGAAAGCGATTTAGTTTGGCTTGGCCCTGTCTGCGATATGTTGGAGCTGCCTCTGCAGGAACCTTTTGATTTATACTTGACGCTCGAATTTTGTAATATTTTTCTAATGTAGTAAATCACACACTAATTGGTTGGCCCGAGAAGGAACAGCGAGTTCTGTATTTTCGCACGATTTCGAACCGAACACCACGAGTTTGAAATATCGACTGCTATTCAATCCCATTCGCAAACTGCGAAGTCAACTGAGGCAGCGACGCCTGGGGTTGTTCGGCATAATGCGTCATGATCGTGGCAGTATTTTCTTTTTGTAGATATTGTTATATATATAATGAAAATGAAAAATATATTTCCTTATTTTTTAAAAACAATTTTCTTATTAATTAAATAGTTTCTTTTATTTTCAGTTTGAGATAAGAGCAATAACTACAAAACTTGTATACAAAATATATTAGAATCAAAACTGAAGCTCCCTGAAAAAATAAAAAACACAACAATAATAAAATATTTTATACTCCTAAAGAAAATGTATCAACAAAATGAATTTTTAAATGTTAATGACATTTTTATTTTTATAATTATTCTGATAGAAACACAATATTAACTCAATTAAACACCCATCAAAGTTAAGGATGCCCGCATTTTGAGAAACTTTGAAGTTGCAAAAACCCGAGAGAAGCATTGGAAATGCAGGCCAAACGGAAATGAGCTCAAGTTCTGCGCTCATCATTCATGACTCGAGTTATCAACTCAATTTGGTGGACAAACGGGCGAGTAAATAAATCAATTTGTGTGCCAAAAGAGGCAAATATCTGATTTAAAGGGGGCATCGGCAGCTGGACGAAGATCTTGCTGTTGGATGAACCAATTAGCACGGCGATTGTATGTGGGTGGAGGATTTTGGAGTGGGTGGATGGTGTTGTGGGAGTGTCATATTTGACAACTGTAATTGTCGCAGGCGCTTTGTGTACGCACGAAATTCGCCTTATTGATAAGCAATGCAAATAGCACACTGAGACCAAAAAGTACTTGCCCCACCCACAGATGTGGGCGTAATAATAGCAACAAAGAGCAGTACACCGAGGGCCCAGCAGAATAGTTATTATCAGCGGCCAAGGCCAGGACAAAGCTGCTCGAGTTGGTTGTGTGCACAAGTATTTATGCAGCCAGCGAGGGCTGCCACAGAAGTTGGGGAAGTCGGCTGCCCAGAGCCACCACGATTAGATAAAGTCGGTTGGCAAGTATTTATTACCGCTTTTATCGAGTTTTTATATACCGCTTGAGAACTTAAAGAGCTTTCCAACTTGTTGACACTAAACGAATGGGAAAAGACTTTCTAACAAGTTGATAGACATAAATAGCATTTTATATCAATCTTATTACAACCAAATTCTTTAAACAATAAGTTATCAAGATATTAATACAAATAATAGTATAAGTAAGGCTTAATTTGTGAATGAGATGCGTTGAAAATTACCCTCCTTCGTATATTATGCCTTTCTTGAAACACCCTAAACTTCTCAAGCTGCCCTCGCCCAGGCATAGGCCATTTTAATGTTTACATGTGTAATACTTTGAATGGGGCTGCTGGAGCAGCTAAGACTGCTAATGAGTCCCCATGTAAAGCGGAAGCTGCAGATGATACAAAAAACATGCGAAAGCCGCCAGAACAACAGCAAAAACTGTTAACAGTTAGCGCTCGAACTTCGCCTCACGAACGACCTTGACACTGGTGGGGTGTCGGCGACAACAGGGCCCACTGTACAGGCATTTCCCCAGCATCGGCACGATCTGCGGATCGCCATAACCCGTTTATGATCGCCGCCCGAATCAAATATTTGCATTCATAAGGGAAAATTTAATTAGCAGCATCAACAAAGTGGAGCAGAATCGATATTTACCCACCGAACGGGCGGGGGGCGAAAATGTTTAATTAGTTGAATTTAACATAATTACTCACATTGTTGGCTGCCGGTAAACAGCACGGAATATGCGTAGTTCAAAACAAACAATCGAACAAACGAAACTGCAAATAAACAGGTGCCACAGAATTCCATGGGAAACCAATTGGTGCTCAAAAGTGGAAGCGAGCCCAGCCCATCTTATCCCACTCCAATTGGCTTCCTGATCCGCTGCCAACTCCGAACTCTACCTGCAATTGCCACACTCGGTTCAAAAATAAAACACTTGCCACATTCTTTTGGTGGACCAGGAAAAGTTCACAGCCAGTACGATGGCTCCTCTATTTATACGCTCCTAATGAGGTGGTTTATTAAAATTAGCCCATAAACAGCGAGCCAAAGTGTAAGTACTGTGAGATTATGAAACACATTCAACAGATGAGCCCAAATTTACATAAGCACCCAAGCCTTACAGAAATGAAAGATATAATAAAAAGAAGAGATTTTAATAAGACGTTTTAAAAGTATTGAATTTACTATACAACTGAATGTTTGCAAATGCCAGTTCAGAAAAACGCAGTATCAACAATATCAATGTTCAGTTGAATATTTTCCATGTTTGCAATGAGCATTTCTAGACTGAAACAAATGCGATTTGGATCTTGAACTTCCCACTTGAAGCCTGGTAACTGCAGTAGTCCGGATGCGTAATTGAATTTGCCAGGGGCCTGCGGCATTGTGGCACCTACAATCCGTGACTCTGACTGACTCACTCGTTGGGCCTTTGTTCTTGGGTGGGCGAGGGCAGGGGACCCTTATACTATATAGTATATATAGTACACCCCCAGACAGGACAGCATTTCACAACAGGAAAATGACATCATTTGATTTGATTGCTGGCACCGTAAATGCCGTGAGACAAATACAACAAGAACGGAATTTGTTATTTTGTTTTGGCTCGGGAAAACTGCATTACTCATCCAACCCCAGCAAAGATCCAGCAATGGACAAGGCAATAATGACCAGCTGAAAATCGCAGAAGTTGCTTTCTGGTCTTTTGGCCAACTGCCAAATGAGCCAATATATTTCGGAGCATAGAAAGTGATTGAGCGAAAGGTAAACAAGAACAGCATCACACTAATTAAACACAGGAAATACCAAATTATGCACTATATAAACTATATTCTACATATTTAAGATATTATATTATGCATAATAAATAAATTGTGCTGCAAAAAAAAAATGTAAAGAATGAAATGACTAGTTATAATTGTAAACTTAATAATTAGGTTCAATAACCTTTACGACGCCAGAATATTACCAATGAATAAATATTTACATAGAAAATAGTTTAACAGCGGACAAAAAAAAATTCATTGATAAGATACTTAAAATTTAAATAAATTTAAGTCCTAACAGAAAGGGGAAACCAATATTTTTTTATTTTATGTAAAAGATCAAAACGCAATTACAAGTTTCAAAACTGAGTTTCCCTTATATTCAGCTCTGAAAATCCAATTTGGAAGACACCAACTTGTTTTTCCCATTCGAAATAACCTGAAGCTAACAAAAGCGACGACGCCTCCCAAAATGCAAACAAAACAAGAAAACGTAAAAGTCGAAAAAATACACGAAAAACTCACCCTCGTCACGCAGGAAAAGCACCGTAGTGGAGGAAAAACCCTACGCAACATGTTCCATGTTCGGTGGGGAAAACAAAAGGGCGAACGGGCTGAATGAAACTGGAGCAGCAGCGAAGGGCAACGGCAAACAGTTGGAACAAATTTGCAATTGCTGACAAAAGAAAGAATGAAAGAAAGAGTTTTCCGGCGGAAAGGGGCGAAGGGACCTTTGCTAAATGCACAGAATTTTGCATAGGCCAATAGCCAATATCAAGAACGCGATTCTGGGATTTCGAATCGGGGAGGGGGAGGAGGATGGGAAAGGTGATTCTGGGGGTGGGGATTGGGGTTGCTGGCACAACCAGTTGGTGCCAAGGGCGAAGCTGGGGAATGGACGTGAGGGCTCGTAACAATTGACAACGCGGCGTATGCGCGATGGATGCCCAGCTGATGATACAATGAAACACTGACACAGTGAACGACTTTCCCACTCGCCCACACACACATAATTACACCTACTAGTACACACACACACACACACTCGGAAAAACTTTCCTTTGAACAGGCTTTCATTCGCCAGTGTCTGTGTATTTTATGGATACACAATTTATGTTGGCCAATTGCTCGCCTCTATTTGTATACAGCATTTCTTTCTTTTTGATTAATTACACACGGTGGCCAGACTTACCCTAGTTTATGGCATTCATTTGGGACCAGTTAATCCTTAGTTTCGAAATTTGTTTGCCAATTCTCGGATGCTATATCTATTCACCTAGCCGATTTCCGCCCGATGCAAAGCTTTAATGAAATTTCTGTTTACGCCAATTTGTTTATGCCAATTTGAGGCCGCTCGCTAGACTCTCCGCACTCGGGGATATACAGATATTTGGGCTATATAGAACCGACTCGCGTATATCGTTCCGATCCGAGAGTTTTGCGCGCCTCGTGCCAAACGGAATTGGGGAAGGCAGACAAAAACGACAACGTCTCCGCTCGAGAGCCGAAAAGCGTATATACAACAAAATTCGTACGAAGAGCGCCAAAGCCAAAAATATTGAAGGAGGAAAAAAACAAACGAGACAGCAGGAAAACATACCAAATTTCCCGGGCTGGCGTTGCCACTGTATTTATCCATGTCCGTAAAGAGACTCCTTTAATGTAAGGGTCCTCCAAGGAACTCGATTTTCCACTTTTACTTGTACATCAGCAAGATCTACAAGTGCTTGGCCTAAACAAAATATAATTTGTTTGAAATATTTGGCAGTTGATGACAAAACCCCGGCCGTCTGGCAACTTTCCACCGGGTTCGGGGGAAAATTCTCAGCAGCTTTTCCGCAATCGGACATGCGCACGGAGCGCATGAGAACGACCCACAGGTCGTATGAGCAGCCAGAAGACGCAACATTTTCGAGCGTGTGATAAGACACAGACACGCGGGGACTTTCCCTTTCCGGAGCGAGGGAAATCGAAAAGCCAGGGAGAGCGAGAGTGCGTGGGCTATAGTGTATAGGGAGGCCCATTTCGGGCTCGGGCCCTAGACAACGGAGCACAATATTGAGGGAGGTAAGAAATTTATAGCCGTTATCAACACACTTTTGGCCTGGCCAGCGAGAGGCAGCAACATATATCGGGCAATGCAAACTAACCGAAACTAGGTCAAATCCCACCAGCCCGTTTGGAATGCTCCATCCGGAAAATGTATTGGGAAAGTCGGAGAAATATTTTTAATTGCTTTCAGACACGACGATTTTACGGTTCAATAAACTATGGTTTAATTTGCAATTCATCTTAATTGTATAAAAAATATGTAATCTAATTCAAATATATTTAACATTTTTAAAGCAATTGTCAGCTTTCATTATTGTATTTACATAAATTCAAATAATATTATTGGCACTAATTTTTTTTATGGTATGGCTCATTCAATTCGAAAAAATAATGCATTCTTTTTAAAAAAGAAATGTTTTCTTCAACCCCAGTAAATTAATCATGATAAAATGTTGTTCCAGAAACTTTTAAAAAATTGAAATTAAATCAAATAAAATTTTTATTATTCGTTTTTTGGGACTTTTTATAAATTTGACAGTTTTTCATTGACGCATAGTTGCATGAAGTGAATTTCAGAGGGCGCGCAGTGAAGAAATGCTTGGTCATGTCTTGGGGATGATAGGCCAAAATTGATACTGCGTTGGGATTCCTTTCAGCCTTCGGTGACTCCAAAAACCGGATGGGTTTCTTTTTCGAGCGGCAGGTGGAATCGTGCAGTAGTGAATAAAAGAAGCCATTTTATTATTGGATTTCTAGCTTCCGATGGGAGCGCTGGTCTGTTCCGTTCCGTTTAGCCTTTTAATGGCTATCTTGGCCACGCCCTTGGTGCACTCTGTGGATCCGCCCATTAGGACGAGGAAGAGTCCGTTGTGCGCCACCGTATTCCACAGGCGTTCGATGGTCTTGTCCAGTTTCGCTACATTTCGCTCTGCGCTCTCCAATACGAAATCCTGCTCCGCCACGCGCAGATTCGTAATGGTGAGGGCATTTTCAAGTGCAATTTCGTTGACCTTGCGCACAGCTTCCTTGGGCGTCGAAACCTCGTGGATACGCACCGCCCGGCTGTTATCCTTGGGAGCTGCCTCTCCTGCCTTTTCGATGACTTCCTTAAGACGGGGCTCCAAATCGCCGACTGTCACGATGGCCGTTCGCTTATCCCGCTTGGCCACATGGGCAAATAGGTTATTGCTGATGGTATCTCCGCTGGAAGCGTTCAACAGCTCCTGCAATCGCTTCTGCTGCAAGAGGATCTCGTCGCCGAACTCGATGCTGTTGGCCAGCTTTGTCTTGACGAGCTTTAGCGTGGCACGAGAATCCTCAATGGAGTCGTGACCGTCGTCGTTCTCCTGAATATCCTCCTTCAAGAAGGTCTTCGCCAGGTGCTTCAGCTTGCTCTTGCGCCGCCGCACGCCCGAGATGTTGAAGCACACACTAGTATCGATCACGTACGGATGCATCATTCGCATCGCGTTCAAATCGGAGTTCAGCGACTGCCCCACCAGGATGGCATCAGAGGGCAGCAGGGCAGATACCTCCCTCTGCACTTCCTTCAGCCGCTTGGTCACCTTCTTCATAATGTCCTCGGTGATGCCCGAGTACTGGGTCAGATAGTCGGTGATCCGGTTGTTGGGCATCACCAGTGTTTCGTAAACGGTCTGGTACTTTTCGTTTACAATGGAGATTCGGGTCAGCTCGTTGACCCCCGCCTCCGTCTGACACATCTCACAATCAACACCGAACATGGGACTGCGGTTGGTCACCGGCGCGTACGATTCCTTAGTCATCTTGAAGTTTTGGAAGCGATTGTGCAGTTCGCCCTGCATTGGAATGGGATAACCCTCATCGACCAATTGCAACGCGGAGAGCAGGAGCTTGGTGCGCGGGAACTTGTCGTCCTCATGCAGGCCATCCGGCTCCGGCGCCCTGCTTTCGATGGGAAAGATGGTCTTGACAAACAGCGTGGGATCCTTGATCAGCTCAACGGCCGACTCCAGCGAACCGTGCTCGTCGATCAACTTGCGAGCCTGCACATTGGTGAGGGGAATCTGTAATAATCAACAATATGTTCATTTTGGATCTTGTGTAAGTGTTTCAAACAGAGCCCTACCTTGGCTATTTCGTCGATTATTTGACCTTCTTCCTTGGGCGGAAGAAGCATTTCCAGCTTTGTGTTGAATATTCTGTTGGTGGCCTCAAACCGGCTCTCGTTAGACAGGTAGTGGTAGAGAGAAAGTCCCTCCAGGATCACAACCACGCTGTGCGACAGGCTGACCCACTTCTCCACACTGCACCACCGATCCGGTCGGCAGGGACTCTTCTGGCCAATCAGAGCGGACATCAGCAGGTGCTGGATGTCGGCCAGAAAGATAGGTGTGCGTGCGTCCTGGGGTGTCTCCAGAGAGGCACGCTGTCCCATCTCCCGCAGTCGCAGGCCGGGCACATCCTCGAGCTGCCGCTTGCGACGGCGCAACTCCGCCGACAGCTGTTTGTACTGCTCCTCGGACAGGGAACAGTTTCCTTCGGGCAGGGTGTCACCTCCAGCCTCGTGTTTGCGACTTCTCTTTGCAGCGGGCGCATCGGTATCTACGGAATCGGTCGTCGTCGCAGTCTGTGAAGATCCTCCTGATTCCGTCTCCTGGTCTGGATTATTTCGGATTGTAAGGCGGTTGCGGGACTTCCGCTTGTTGGAAACCGTTACAAAGCCATCGTCCTCGTCCTGCGCTTTAGTTGGGCTCTTCTCCTCTGCCTCGGCCTCGTCGGCATCCTGTTTTTTGGCCAACTCCGCCTCGTGCAATCGATCCCTGTCGTTCAGCTCCATCAGATTCGCCAGCGCAGCCAGCTTCTTTTTCTTCTTCTCACTGCGCTCGTTCTGCTTGGCCGACAGCTGCTCCTTCATGCTGCTGCGCTTTCCGTTCAAGCTGTGGGCAATATTTAGCGGATTTTGTTTTAATTAAATAAATTAACAGTCTTCAAGTTTGTCAACACCAAAATTCAACATGTGCACATGCTGGATATTTTATCGATGCTCTAAAAACAACACGATGTATCGATGGTAAAGACATCGCTGTTATCGATGGTCATTGCTTTCACTAAGCTGAGTGGTTTAAAACTTTATAAGTGTAGCCGTTTTCCTATTATTCTTCTATATTTCTTACATTGATTTAAAGCGAAAGTTACAAGAGCAAACTAGCATAATATAAAATCAAAGGCACTCTGCATTATAAACCATTTATTAACAACTTTTGAATTGTGCGCCGAAAGCTAAATGGTGTGACCTTTTCTTGCTATCAACCACAAGCTAGTTGCTATGCGATGTTAGCTAAAAAGAGACGACAGCTGTACACATCCACCGTTAGAATGCCGCGTGCTTTTGGAAATACATGAAATTTCTAAATTTAATAAGCTTACTGACAATAAATATATTACGTGTAAATCAACGAAAGTGAATTGAACAAAACGCTCAAATATGTATACAGCTGTGAAGCCGCTATCAAAGTATCTGCAGTTTAAGTCGGTGCACATATACGATGCCATTTTTACCCTGCACTCGAAATGCACAGTGGCGTTGCTTTTGGCGTGCACTTTTCTGCTTTCCTCGAAACAATATTTTGGGGATCCTATCCAATGCATGAAAAGTTCGGACATGGACTACTTTCACGCCTATTGCTGGATCTATGGGGCCTACGTGCAGGCCAATGTCTCCGTTTCGCCTTCTTTTAATGGCGCCGTCCAGTGCCGACCTGGTAAGTTTAGTAATCCTCCAAAGAAAACTCCTTTTCCAAGCAAAGATTTCATATTACAGATGTTGTGGGTCGCGGCGTGGCCCCAGAAAATCGACGCTACATTCGCTACTATCAATGGGTTGTTCTGGTTTTGCTTTTGGAGTCCTTCGTGTTCTACTTGCCCGCCTTCCTTTGGAAGATTTGGGAGGGAGGTCGGCTGAAGCATCTATGCGACGATTTCCATAAGCTGTCAGTTTGCAAGGTCAAAAGCAAAGCGCATCTCAGCGTGCTGGTCAACTATTTCACCAGTGACTACAAGGAAACTCACTTTCGCTACTTTGCCAGCTACGTGTTGTGCGAGATCCTTAATCTGGGCATCAGTGTAAGTTCCCCCTTTTGGGGGATCTAATAGGACAAACCTTAATGCGTACTAACTTTTGAATTTCCTTACTTTACAGCTCTTAAACATCCTTCTCCTGGACGTATTTTTCGGCGGGTTTTGGTCCCGCTATTGGAATGCCTTACGAGCTTTGTACGCTGGCAACGTTGCCGAGTGGAACAGCATCACCATGCAGGTGTTCCCCAAGTGTGCCAAGTGCGAGGTGTACGAGGGAGGCCCCAGCGGTTCGGACAACATGTACGATAACCTTTGCCTGCTGCCACTGAACATGCTGAACGAGAAGATATTTGCCTTTCTATGGATCTGGTTCATTTTTGTGGCTGGATTGGTTTCCCTGAAGATCCTTTACCGCCTGGCCACCATTTTCCATCCTGGAATGCGATTCCAGTTGTTGCGGGCCAAAGCTCGATTCCTGCCCAGGTCGCATTTGCAGGTGGCCCTGCGCAACTGCAGCTTCGGAGATTGGTTCGTGTTAATGCGCGTGGGAAACAACATCAGCCCGGAGTTATTCCGCAAGTTGTTGGAGGAGATGTATGAAGCACAGTCCCTGACCAAGATCCCGCCAGGAGCGGATGAAGTCTAAAATCCAAGTATTGACACTTCAATGAATCTCATGTGACTGAAGTAAGTTTGCTTCTTTTCTAAATTACATCTTTAGTAGAAGACTAAGATGACGACTACACTATTCATTCACTTTCATAGAACTATATTCGATATGTACATATTATCGATCAAATTGTTAATTAATCTAAAACTCACTCTAAACGAAAAACAGTATTTTCAGTTGATTAAGTCAATTTCTTGCTTTTCGTACTCAGAAATGAAATACCTAAAATTGTATTGTTTTCTAAAAAGAAGTTATAAATGGAAATTGAACTGATTGGTTAATTGATCATTTCAAAGTCTCTCAGTTAATTTCTTGCTTCTCATACTTAAAAATGAAATACCTAAAATTGTATTATTTTCCAAAAAGAAGTTATATATTAAAATGAAACTGATTGGTTAATTCATAATTGATCATTCCAAGACATTACTATTATTTATGCCCCATTATTCTATTATACAATTTAAATGGTAATGAAGTTCTGCCCAATTGCTGTGATTCACTAATGCATTTGTATTAAAAACGGACAATCACAAATCTGGCCAGTCTTTCTTATTAAGACATACGAACTTATGCAGTGGGTTTTATAAGGATTCGATAACTATCATTAGAACCTACCTTTCCGATCTAGCAATGCTTCGCAAAGCAAGTCGTGTTCGGGTCCACATGTTGTCGGTTATCTTGGGTTGGTAGGTGTAGGATGAAGAACAGCCTTGCACATGCCGTTATAAGGCCTGAAAATATTCAGACTGCCAGAGCTTCTGCTGGCCACGGGTTCGCCGGATGGCTTCTTGGATGGATGGGGCATAAACTTTCTTTGCTTTCGCATCAATTTTTATTGACTGAGTTCTGCGGGTTAAAGGGAAAACTTGGTTAGACCTTGGATTTCGCTTTGTTTCGCCTCCGCTGCGATACTTACATTATGTCTGATAATAAAATTTTGATAAGAGTTTTTTTTCTACGTTTTTCTAGAGAATATGCATGTGTTTATCTGTTTTACTGCCGTTGGTGGTTTTTAAATATGTTTTTTTTGGTAACTGATGTTTGAGCTCCAAGCCTTTTTTGTTGGCCGTTTTAAACTTAGAACAAAAATGTTCTTATTTTGAGTACGTTGTACGAAATTTGTAAAAAAATGATTTGGAAATATGAGCGACAATTAGGAATGGAGTCTGGGCCTGCTTAGCTTAAATGAAGTCAAAGCCAACATTGTTGGCTAGGTGGGTGGCTGGTTCGTTGCTCTGTAAATTCCCCTTCAACTTGCACTTTTAAGCGGTCATTTCAGCTGACCGACGCAGTTGCTGGGCCAATTTTCATTAACCAAAAAACGCTTAAGTTCAAAACGAAGCAGAAAAGTGCAGCAGTGGCCGGTGGAAGTGGGTCGTTCGCCCGGTGATCCACTTTCCGGAAGCCTTCATAAGCGGCGCACTCGGCCACCGCCGGCTTCAGTTGCCGTTCGCCGGGCGGATGGCGCGGAAGTCGTCGTCGTCGTAGTCGTTATCATCGTCGTGGAATCGTGGATATCAAGTTCGGTCTTTCCGATTGCTTTTTGTGGATTTTTGTTTGAGTGAATTGCTGTAACCCGACGCTCCTTGTTGGCCAGCCAATTTAACAAAGTGCTAAACATAAAAATATAACCAAAAGAAGGCAGAAAACGTTGCTGAAGTTATAGTGGCAAGCAAAATAAGATTAAAAAGCAACTACAATAAAAAATGTGCAGAGCTTAAGTGATACGTTAAGAGTTTTAAATAAAAAGTGAAGATGAATTACAACATGGATGGTATGTGTGAAGTACTGCCGTATATAAGTCCCAATTGTTATATTAAGTGTTTAAATTTTCATTTCATTTTTCTCGTTTGGAAACTGTTATTACAAACTTTATATGATAATGTATTGTGTTGACTAAGATTTTAATTTGAAAAAGTAACTAATCGCCCAACTTAACTATACCTTAAAAAATATAAATCGTATAAAATACATTTCCGTACGCGTTGGCACTTGATGGTCAAAGATTTTTTTGTTACCAATTTTCACCCACGTATGTGAACATTTTAAGCAAGAAAGTGATTTCCATAAACTGGTTGTAAGTTCCAATTGAACATTGATCAGCATTTTTATCAAAATTATTGTGAAACTGCTGAACAGGCCAGAAAGTGCTGACCCAAACAAACCGAGAAAAAAAATATTATGATTAAAATAAAAGTATGTAAAATTATTTTTAAAAGAAGTGGGGAAAGCAAAAAAACCAAACAAGTAAACAAATTTTAAATAGGCAATTGGGTGAATAATAAGGCAATTGTTGAATGTGAATGTAATTGAAACCGGAATTCTTTAGAACTGGAGGCCACCAGGTTGCTACGACATCCCCGACGTTGGTGGAGCATTGGTTATGGCAAACGCATCGTGGCCATCTCGGTTCTGGTTATCATCGTGCTGCTATTTTCCCTTATTTATCATGGTCTTGTCGTGGAAAGAATGGGTAGGTTCACCTAGTAACTTATTACTTAAAGAATTGATTTATTGATACCACCATTTACAGATCGCGTGCAGCAGATTGCCGCCTTGAATGCAAGGCACCAACTGCTTTCCAACCAGCCATTTGAAGAGGATCAGTCTGCTCTGATTATGAGTCCCCAAACCTTACACTTTAAGTTGCTTGACGAGGACATTAATAACAATGTAATAGATGAAAGCAAGAATAAAAAAGGAAACACTTGAAGCGTATGTTGGTAAAGTTCCGCTTAAATAAGAAGCATCGCTATCGCCGGGAGTTGTCTAGCTTGGATTTGCTTGATCCCGTGCAAATAGAGGCCAACATGCAGCATCTTTACTCCAAGTTGAGAAGCAAAAGAGCGAGGGAAACTCTGACTCAACTGGAGCACGAGTATGTGCGGTGCAAGAAGCAGACTCCACAGGATTGCATGTCCGCCTTTTTGCGGATGTACAAGATGGCCAAGGAGGTGACCGAGAAAATGGAAAAGATGCGTGCCATAATGCGGGAGCAGCAGCCCAGGCTGGAATCGAGCAGCATGGAGTCCGAAGGAGACAAGGGTACATTTGCTTCGGGTGATCTAATCCAAGAGACAACTACAGCAATCACAAAGGTGGCGAATGTCACTGGAAAGCCCTTGCGAACTAAGAACAAACCCTCCAGGATCAGCTGGATTATCGATGGGCATGATGAGAGCGAAACTTTTACTGATGATGCTCCCAAGACGAAAACAGTAAAGAAGCCAGAAGTCACCACTAAATTAGTATATAATACAAAAACAGAACTAGAAGAAACCACCACCGAGGGGTTGAGTAAGGAGAATCTAACCTGGATTCTGGACCACTTTGATAAGCCAAGAGAAATAGTGCGCACGACTGAGGGACCCAGGCACCGAACCACTAGAAATGCAACCTCCGAATCCGAAGAATCTTTAAAAACTACTTTATTACCAGAGACAGAAACTACGAACAGTAAATTAACCGCCACCACACAAGGTGGTTCGGAATTGAACACCACTACTGATGCAGTTGTACAAACCACCACTACTGCCCAGCCAAAATTGTCATTTGATTGGATAATCGATGGCGCTGAAGATAAGAAGCCGCAAGAAGAGTCCATTAACACAACGACGACCACTTCAACCATTGGTACCACGGAAGCCACCAGTGCTACCACAGAGCAGCCGAAAATAAGCTACGATTGGATCATCGATGGTCGTGAAGTTAAGGAGCAGAAGAATAACTCGAATACAACCTTGTCCGAGAGCACCACCGAAGCCACTGGTACAACCACAGGGCAGCGAAAACTGCAGTTCGATTGGATCATCGATGGGGAGGAAGTTGTGGAGCGGCATGAAAACTCCACCACCACCACCACAACAACAACAATGCCAATTAGTACGACGACAGAAGTGCTTCAGATCTCCACTGTCCATCCCACCAAGCCAAAAGCAGTGAAGATCAGCTGGATAATCGATGGTGAGGAAGCTAGTGATGAGAAGAGCAGCCCCACCACAACCCTTCCTAAGTTAACTACCAGAGAGGCGATCAGCGAGGCAGAAGAAGCACGCTCCTCACATCCCCTGGACAACCCGAGCAGCATCGAAAACATGCTGGACAGTTTTGAAAAACACGAAGAGGACAAGCCTATTCTCAGGGTGCTGAATGGAAATGAATCCTCCCAGGAAGCCACCACGGAACTCTACGAACGACAGGTGTGGCTGAAAAAGTTTGAGGAGCAGGCTAGTCCGAATCAAAACGAGCTGATAGATACTTTTGGCACAGCTTTGGATGCCAAAGTGCTGGATAAAATGGGACCGAAGATTAATCCGCTTAATGGTCATGTTTGGAATGGTGAGAGTTATATATTTCATAGTAAAATAACTTTAATAATATTGTTTTTTTTTGTTTAGCTGCGGATGCCCAGATCCTCAGCCTTTGCGAGCGAGTGGCCCTGAAAATGCGCAATAAAGTATCTGAAGGTGAAACCAATGAAAAAGGGGAAACCTTTACCGCGTCGCCTAGTGTGCAGTTTACGAGTAGAGCTCCTGGTGGATTCCCAGTCTCCGGAGAAACAATGAAGGCCTCTGCTCAGTTTATGTTTAATCCGAACTTTGGAATGCCCAGTATCCCCGTCTGCTTCTATATGACTCCCGCCAACTTCCGAATGCCCATGTGGTCGAGCACTCCGACATTTATGGGCATGCAAGGTGCTCACTTTGGAGGCTCCTCGAACCCAGGCGGGGGCATTTTCTTTGTGCCGCAGCAATTCGGACCGAGTGGCAACTTTTTCGGAGGAAGTGGCGGTTCGGGAGCTGGTGGGCAGGGACCTAATATTTTCTCCAAGAACGCCTCACCGCAGAAGCCCCAGAACAGTCAGCAACAGCAGGTGTACTGTAGCTACATGCAGAATCAATCTGGTCAGGGAGCAGGACAATCGCAGACATCCAGTCAACAGCCGCTGGGTGGCCAGACGAGCTTCTCCAATGCCAACTTTAAGATGAGGCATGCCAATCAGTCGAGTTCTGGCCATAAACAGGGCCAGATCATTTACGCCAGCTATGCAGGATTGCCACAACAACCGATTCAGGAGCGTTCCAGGTGCCCCGAGCCGGATCAGTTGTCCTGCTTTGGTCAACGAGAGTGCATAGCCGCCTCGAGATGGTGCGACAATGTTGTGGATTGTTCGGATGGCAGTGATGAGTCCGCTTGCACCTGTGCAGATCGGGTGGATGAAGACCGTTTGTGCGACGGTTATGCAGACTGCCCCATGGGTGAGGACGAACTGGGCTGCTTTGGCTGCGAACCTCTGGCTTACTCCTGCTATGAAAACCCGGAGGAGTTCGCCAGACATAACCGCTCTACAATCTCCATGTGTTACAATCGAATTGAGCGGTGCGATGGAATTATGAACTGCCTGAATGGACGCGATGAGCAGCAGTGCAGCATGTTGGTCACTGATGTGGCGGATCATATGGTATTTGAATTACGATCTAAGATGAAAAATCTGTTATGCTAATATTTCAACATTTCTAGTCTCACGCCGCATCTGCTTCTGAGGGTTTTCTGTACCACAACCATCGTGGCGATTGGCATCCTGTGTGCAACAATGGCGAAAAGTGGGCTGCTTCCGCCTGTGAGCTGGGTGGTAAAGGGGGAGTGGCTCAGCCAGTTCAACTGAACGTCACCTTCAAGGCACTCACTTTGCCGGGACCTTTTATTGAGCCTTCACTGCATGCAGGAGTCTTGTTTGCACAGGCCTGTCACGGACGCAGTAGCCACGATTCGTTGGTGGATCACGTGGCCTATGTCAAGTGCCCACCGATGCAGTGTGGTGTGATTCACAAGCCTCCAAAGATGGAGCATTCGAAGAGAGCAAAAAGAGCAGTATCGCAGTCGAAGGAAATCGTTGGCGATGGCCGTATTGTTGGTGGAAGTTTCACAAGTGCTTTGCAGTGGCCTTTTGTGGTGGCCATTTATCGTGATGGCAAATTCCATTGCGGAGGAACCATATACACGGACCGTTGGGTGAGTGAATAGTATAATTTATAAATTAGGTACTCAGCTAACTTGCTTGTATTGTACCAAAAGATCATCAGTGCTGCTCATTGTGTTATCAACTTTGGCAAATATTACTACGAGGTGCGTGCCGGTCTCCTGCGCCGCACAAGCTACTCACCCGCGACCCAGATTCAGTCCGTGTCCCATGTGGTGGTCCATCAGGCTTACGAGAGAAAGAGTATGCGCAACGATCTTTCTCTATTGCGCTTGGTCAACCCGCTTCAATTTAATCGCTGGGTGAAGCCCATCTGCTTGCCGGACAAGGGAAGAACCACGCTTGGGGACGATTGGATATGGGGCCCTGAAGAGAACACTCTATGCACCGTGGTGGGATGGGGAGCCATTCGGGAAAAGGGTCCGAGCAGTAAGCACAACTAACACATTTTAACAATCAACCATTATATCTTTATTTTATATTTACACAGGTGATCCCCTGCGCCAGGTAGTAGTGCCCATTCGAAAGCGCTGCGTTGATCCAGAGGATCAGGCATCAGAGGACATTTGCGCTGGCGATCCGAGCGGAGGTCGTGATGCGTGCCAGGGTGACTCGGGTGGTCCGCTTTTCTGTCGCAGCGTTTCGCAGCCGGAGGAGTTCTATCTCGCCGGTGTGGTGAGTCACGGAAACGGCTGTGCTCGTCCTCAAGAGTTTGGCGTCTACACGAGAGTCACTCTCTACCTGGACTGGTTGGAAATGGCGACAACTCCGCGACTTTTGCCCCAACGACAGCCGATCCAATTGTGTCCCGGATTCATCTGCGTCTGGGGCGGTAAACGGTGTATAGCTAAACGCCAGCGCTGTGACCGAAATGTTGATTGTCTCGGCGGCGAGGATGAGGTGGGATGTTCCTACAACTTTATACCAGACATGGTTGGTGGTACACAGAATGTGAGCAGCACAACCGAGAGTGACTATCATCCAGTAAAGGAGCATGAAAGTAAAGCGGAAAGTAAAATGCGGGAGGTTATTCCATTTGAAGATATAGATTTAAAAAAGGAAGAGAACGAGGATGAGGCCTGGGAAAGCACCACTTCTTTGGAAGAAAATGAAACCACCCAGTTGGATTTGTCTTTTACAGAAGAAATAACGACATCAACTTTACGTGGTATAGCTACTACCGAGGGGATTACGGCTCAAAGTTCTACAACTATTGATTCAACCACAAGTCCTTCAACTAAAATGACATCCACAATTTCTCAAACAACCCTCGCATCTACGACAGCAGAAACATCAACACTTGCATCTACTACAATTGAATCTGAATTCGAATCAACTTTACAAACTACTCTTCCAACTACTGTGGTTCAATCTACAACAATTCCCACCTCAACAGAGGACTTTAAGAAGCTCACCGATTTGGTTACTCACTTTATAGAGAGTACAACCTACGGAACCACCAAGGAACAAGCTACAACAATTCCTACTTCAACTGAGGACTTAAAGAACGTCACCGATTTGGTAACTCAGTTTGTAGAGAGTACAACTTACAGAACTACCAAGGAACAAGAATCATCTACTTCCACCCACATAATTACAACAGAAGGACCCAGCACAGTAACTACAGAGGGCGTTAGGGAAACCACTGTCACAGAACATATAACCACAATTAGCAGCACCGTCACCACGCCTTTTACCACAATCACTACTACCAAAACCACTGAAAACCCTGGAGAAACCACTAGAACCACAATAGCTCCAACAACCACTACAAAATTAGCTAAGACAACCACAACAAAGAGCAGTAGCAGCCATCCCAAAACCGACCAGGTGCTAATTCCCAACAAATTCGTATGTAAAGAGTGAGTAATATCCTTCATAAAAATTCCTTGAATTCATTTTGTTTCAATGTATGCAATTTCTTTCTTTGTTTAAGAATGTCTCAAATTGTGGATATTATGATGCGTTGTGACCGTAAAGTGGATTGTGAAGATGGAACCGATGAACTGAATTGCACATGCAGGGACTATTTGAAGGGATCCCTGGCCGCTCTTATTTGCGATGGCAAAGCGGATTGCGAGGACCTTACTGACGAGCAGGATTGCTGTAATAACTATGACAAAATTATTTAGAGTATTGCATTAAATATGCTCTATTCACTTTCAGTTGATTGTAAAGCTAATGAATTTCGTTGCCCGTTGTCTAAAACTTGCCTGCCTGTTAGCAAACGTTGCGATAATGAAGTGGATTGTAAGTTCAAGGAAGATGAAAAAGATTGCTGTAAGTAAAAATTAAGGCACTCTAAAAAAATTTCCAAATTATTTACCTATTTTCCCCTGCCAGTTGCATTGACCAATGGTCACGATGTTCACTTCGATGTGCACCAGCAGCCCAAGTTCAGCAGCGCTGGAATCTTCTCCAGAAACGCCCACGGCGTTTGGCGTGTTGTCTGCGCCCACGAGACGGGTTATCATGAGCACCAGGCCAACACGGCGCATGCTGTGTGTGCACTCCTCGGCTTTAAAGGAGCTCACTATTTCAATAGCTCAGAGTTTGTAAGCCAGCAGGAAATGCAGTCCATTACACCGGAGCTCAAAGCGGGCAAGACTCGCATGGTGGCTCAAATTCGTTCCATGGTCGGTGACAATATCCAATTGACAGATAACGAGGTCATAATCCCCGAGCTTGGTCTACCTACCGGCTCAAGGCCGGGAAAGGATCGTCTATTGCCTCGAAAGTGTGTGGGCATTTACGTCGAGTGCAATCCCCTGTCCAATAAAACCACACCCCTCAAGACCTTCAGTGCTGGGCAACCTGTGAAGCAAAAGCCAAAGGAGCAGATTCCGGTCCTGCTGCCCACCATCGAAACCCACAACAGGCCGAATGTGCACTTTAAGCCGCAGACTGAACCGTTGGTTGTGAATAAAAAGGATGAGATTCTTGACCGCCTGGACAATCTTATCAAGAGTAAGAAGAACAAAACCATTTTGGTGAATGAACAGCTTCATGAGGCTATCGAGGAGCTGCATTGGCCCTGGCTGGCTGATGTCTATTCCAATGGCGACCTTTGGTGCATCGGAGTGCTTATCGACAAGCATTGGGTGCTGGTCCACGAGAGCTGTCTGTTTGGCATTGCTTTGGAGACGCACTACGTTAGCGTCTTGTTAGGAGGTGGAAAAACAAAGCGATCGGCACACAAAAGCAATCACGAGCAGATCCGACGTGTGGATTGCTTCGAGGCAGTTGCAAAGTCCAATGTGTTGCTTTTGCACCTCGAGCGGCCGGTGAGATTCACCCACCAAGTGCTGCCCACCTTCCTGCCTGACAGGTGAGTTTCTGAATTTTAATTAAAGGCCTTCAATATACATGGTTTTCTTGCAGCTACCATCATAACAAAAGCGCAACGAGGGACTGCATCAGTGTACTTCATGACGACGCCACTGGTCGAATTAAAACTGTGGCAATCGCCCGGATAGACAACGTACCCAACTGCGATTCCTGCTACAAACTTCAGGAGAAGCAGCCGCCGGCTAATCTGATGCGCCTACTGAATGTGAGCGCCGAGGACATGGCATCCATTTCGGAGGAGGTAGAACTCATTAACGGGGTGGCCCCCACTGAGCTGCCTGCAATTACGAAATTCACCAGCTGCAATCAATTTGGCCTGAAAAATGCCAGCGACTCGCATCACAATCCAAGCGATCAGGGCGTGCTGGTATGTCGTGATTCGCACACAGGCTGGTTCCCAACGGCCATGTTCAACTACAACAATTCCGATTGCCAAAGTTTCAAGCAGCCATTCGGCATTCGGACCCTGGAACTGGCATACAAATCGCTGCAGGATATAATAGGTGTGCTGAGTGTACTCGCAAATCGTTTCGAAATCTAATTTAAATTCCCCGAATAGACAAGCCAAGCTGCAAAATCCTTCAGCCAGCCCCGGAATGCACCACACATCGTTGCCCGCTGGGTGCTTGTCTGCCACAAGCGGCCATTTGCAACGAGCGGTCCGATTGTCATGATGGTAGCGATGAAGATGAAGCCGAATGCCGCCAGCAGAAACAGCGTTGTGCTCCCGGCGAGATGAAGTGTCGCACCAGCTTCAAGTGTGTGCCGAAAAACAAGTTTTGCGACCACGTGCGTGACTGCGAGGACATGACGGATGAGCCAACCATCTGCAGCTGTTTTACCTATCTGCAGTGAGTTTAAGTCAAAAATATTAAGGGTTTAAAGATTTTTAAATTAATTATTAATCTTTATGTTAAAGAGCAACGGATCCCTCAAAAATATGCGATGGCAAGCGAAACTGCTGGGATAAAAGCGATGAGAGTTCAGTCCTGTGCAATTGCACTGCGGATCATTTCCAATGTAGTTCGTAAGTAACTAGAATATTCTAATAATTTACTCCTCCTACTCACTTTTCAAAACAGCTCTCCTGAAGATTGCATTCCTCGTGATTTTGTGTGCGACAAAGAGAAAGATTGCCCCAATGGCGAAGATGAACGTTATTGCTTTGGTATTGAACACCCTTTGGAGCAGCAGAAGAAGGATTTCTGGGCCAATAGTCAACACACGTAAGTTATCAAACCTCATTATCTACAAACTGTTGTTGATTTGAAGATAATCTATTTTAGGCAGCCAGAGATAGCTCCTCAGTACGGACAGGTAATTGAACAGACCTATGGCATCTGGCATACAAAATGCTTCCCCAAAAGCAAGCCCCCGCAAGTTGACGAAGTGCGTGAGATATGCAAGAAGCTGGGTTACAATCCATACAGACAGCCCAGCTATCGGTTAATTGACGATGAGGAAAACAAACCCGTGCACACCTATGAGATTGCGGATAGACAGGGACGCAGTTTTAGTAACGAATCTCTGGTCGGAAAGTACCGAGATTCCACAAAAGCCCTGATTATCAGTAAATTCTCGCCGCTGCAATTAAATGAGCGCCTTACTCTGTTCGTCAAATCCAGCCGACCAATTGCTGAGCTGGTCAGGTGGAATGCCACCGATTCCAGCATGTGTTATAGGCTGGAGATCCGGTGTGCCTAATGGTGACGATACATACCTCGTAAGTGGATCCATCGTTCTCTCGTGATTGTCTTTTGTGCGTTTTAGTAGCAAATAAATGCGAGAGCTGTACACATTTTATTATGAACTTGGTTTTATTTTAATTTCATATTATTTTTTATCAGTTTGCGCTCGCATATTTTGCATAGTTTTCATTTCATTTGGTTTTGGTATTAAGCTTGGGAGTTTGGGTATATTCATTATTTTAGTTTAACAAACGAGTTTTTCGCTTTTATAAATGTAAAAAATCGCCTTTGTTATGTCAAAATTCAAACAATGTAATCAATTAAAGCACTTAATTAGTGTTGGGTTTCCTTTAAATTCGTTAAAAAGACGTAGGTTATCGTATTTTAAGATTAGTTTTTATGAAAGAAGGTACTTGAGAACTATAAGTACTTGCACCCCTCGAGAGTAGTTACGCAACATTTTTGGAAATAAGTTAATCCCTCGGGTGCATCGTTGGTAATATAATAATTATAATTTTAGGACCTTAAAAATCGTTAACGTCAGTTTAAGGGAATGTATAAGAGTAACTAGTTAAATGTATTCATAAGTCTTTGGCGCAGATTAGGATAAAGATTTTGGGAATACTTCTAGGAGGTAATTTCTTTATAATTCATTAGATAAACGCAAACGTTAGTTGGGACTTGGGTTAGGCAAAATACTTTCAAAGTTATTCGGTTTTGTTTGATTAATGTCAAGATCTCTTTGTACAATAAATAATTTCCTTTTATAATTTGAAATTGAATCACAAATGTCATTAAAGTATTATAAGTATGCATAGGTAAATGCTTAGGCTAGAGTTAATCATTCCGAATGGCGATTAGTTAGTAAAGTGTGCGATTTATATGAACCATGTGTGCGTTTTCCTACCCGGTAGTCATGCATATTATTGTAGTTTGTGACAACAAAAAAATTGCAGATCTATTTTCGGAAAAGTCGGACTTAATTTAAAATTAATTTTTCATTGCAATGCAGGAAGATGCCCTTTAGGTGATCTATTAAAGACTACCGGGTATCTTAGTCGGTTTTCTCGACCATTGAATTTCATTTTGTTATGTATATAGTGAGCGCATTAAAAAGCGATGCATGTGTGTAGATTGTTGGTAGAGAGTGGAGTCCACTGATTGGTTTCTAGGATTGGTTTTGTAGCACAGGCAAACAGTTCTTAACACAACCTTTGACAATTCTAAGTTTAAGAGTATTTAGGTTCGTAGAGTTCGGAAGAAAGCGTAATAGGGGTAAATTTTGGAGCCCAACTGGCTTAGTCTAAACTAGTGTTATGCTCAATTTCTTTCGTTTCGTTTCGCGCGGGCCAATTAAATTTCCGTGATTCTTACATTTCGTTTACGTTGTCATGAAACACAGCAGTTTATATATTTACATATCTAACATACCTACTAAATTAGGCTTAGGATTTCGTTAACTTTACTAACTACGACTTCTCCATGAAATGGTTTACTTTCTGTTGCTAAAATCTTAATGGAATAGTTGGTGCGTTTTTATTTACAAATTGATTCGTTCTAGTTGTTCTCATAGTGTATAGTACTTTAAAGCTTATGAAGAGTTAGTATATTTCACTGGATGAGTTCAGATTTACTGAAAGATTGGACCACGGACATTCAGCTGAATATCCGCGAACTATTTTTAATGTCGTTGTAAATATGTGATGGTAGTAGATGATTTGTATATTTAAGTAATGGCGATTGTTCGCTGCCCTTGGGCAATTGTGATTTAAATAATGTCTAACGATATTTACGATTTTTTCCAATCTTTCTATAGGTGCTGCCGCCTAAAAGCATTCAAGCAGTTCTTTGAACTAAAATTATAACAGTTCTCCCAATTTTCGGCCTAAAATTATGCATCATGCTCTACTGATCAATGCTAAAGGTAAGCAACTTTTCTCTCTGCTATTTTCCATGAAAATTGCTGTTCAAACAAGAAAAAAAACTGAAAAAACTCAAACGGGAATATAGTCAATAAATAATTCATATATTTTGCTAGAACTTGCACACACAATAGTTGCCTTAGGCGTAAAACAAATCTCTCACTTGCAATAAATAACTAAAAATTAAACATAAAATAATGATATCTGTAGTGAAACTGCAGGCGTCAGAATAACCTTGTGCGTTTTTTCCGAATCGTCAAACTTTGGCTTAGACTAATTAACCGTAACATAAACAACTAAAACAATATAATTAACATAAAGAGAAAAAACTAAAGTTGACTTTACACAACATGTGATGCGTATACAAAATCCTTTCAAACGTTGACTACAACATTTTGATTACCTGAACTTCTTCAGCTTGAAGGGGGAACTTTTATTCGTTATCTAACTTGAGGGATTTAAGATTAGTTTGAGTTTCCATATTTCCCTGTCTCGTCACTGATTGCTACGAAGTCCTTAAGTTTACTTCCGCTCCGTCTTCTCCTCGTATTGGGTTGGTGGCGTGTTTTCCTGGGTCCTCACCAGATGCGATGGCAACTGCATGTTGAGCGGATCATTGATCCTTCTGAGATTGTATTCCAGCTCAGCTGACTTTCGTTTCAGTTCATTGTAATGCTCCACATCGAATTGGATCTTCTTGGCGTTCCTATAAAGGGTGAGCGAGTATTCGCGGTTCTTCACATCCTCCATCATGTACTCCTAGGAGTTAAATAAAAGTATATGAGCTCATGGAGTGTTAAGATATATTTTGCCAATACACTTACCCGCTTTGTGACGCAATAGTAGGCATACATTGCCATTGTCGTGCCGTAGGTAACAAAATAGGTAACCGGCTCCATGATATCCCAAGAGTATTCCCACCAAGTCAGTCGCGCCAGAATGCCAAATTGCACGGACATTAGGCCGAGGCCCATCCAAGTCATAAAGTTTGTTCGACGAGCTGCCTTTTTGCTCAGTTCCAGTTTTTTCTAAAAGAAGCAACTTTTTTATAGAAATGAAAAACTTTAAAAGCATGGTTGTTACCTCTTCCAGTGGCTCGAGTTCATAGCGTAGGGTTTCCAGTTCTTTGGCCAGTTGATTGCTCTTCTCTAGCTGATATTCGCCAACATTGAATGCCTCGTAGAGCTGTAATATTAAAATCATATCGATGAAATTCCATAAAATTATGTCTCAAAATGTTTCTACCTCACCTGAGCAATAACTTTGCGCACGTCACCCACTTTGTCCAATGATTCCACTGTGATCTTCTCCCGTTTCGGTGGATTGACCTCCAATGTCCGGTTATTGATTTGTATGCTGTTAACGCAAATGGCTTATATTTGGTTTTCCGCTAATAATTCTTAATCCCTCACCTGAAGGAGTCATCCAACAAGCTTTCGATGGTGCAGGACGAAGCGATTCGTACACCATGCTTGTTGATCACCGCAGCTCGATCGATGCCGCGGTCCTCAGCCTTAAGCATGGCTAACAGATCGCCAACGTTGTGGGAGATCGGTTTCAGGGCGAACTGGCAGAGTTCATTCCGACTGGGAAGCCGAACAGTCATATGTGGCATACCATTCACGTATTCCACGTAGATGTCGTCTGGGGGAAAAAATTAAAGTTAAGTTTTATTTAGTAAAATGTAAAATACGCCACAACAGGCCTTAAACCAGCACATGAATGCCTATAACTTTTCTAAATCATATCCGATTTTGGATTGGTATACCACAAAATGATTGTGACATAGTACCCTAAAAAACTGCATCATGTGTTTGGTTTTGATTTTTGGGTCGATTGTTATAATCGTCATCAATTTAAAAATTTAGCTAAAACATTAAATTTTTTTAACCTTTACGAATCTCATGAATTTCTCATTGTATACATATTAAATTCATTTTTCGTTTCGCAAATGAACTATAGATTTTGAAAGTTACAAATTTTTGTAAACATTTTTAAACGGACAGAAAATCAGCAGACATTTCCGATTGTGCATTTTTTTAAAAGAGTTCTATGAACTCCCTTCACTTCCCCAAACAGTTTCTCTATTCGGATGTGTGCCACTCTGGGCTGCAGTTTTCCTAGGTTGTAATTAACCAAAAGCCACTCAAGGTTATTCGCCAGGCTGGCTCAATTCAAATGCAGTTAGGCGTTCGAATTGCTTGCTGAGCCGTGACTTCTTCAGCGTCTCTCTAGGAAAAAGACGCAACAAAGCCTGGTAGCTGGCAGTTTAGGCTTTCAAATGGATGACATTGCGGATTTTGACAAACATTTCAATTAGCAGCATCTAATCGCATTCCAGGTGGCGGTGCATCGCATCGCAAAAATGATAGTCATCTCCGAGCTGTGCGGCCAACGAAAAGTTTTCACTTTGTCGCATGTGGGATTTATGCAGCCATGAAGTAGCACAAACATATATTTATCTGTATCGCTGCCACTCATGCAAGCAGCCACCAAATGCAACCACACGCCACTGCAACCACCAACACAACGCCATCAACTTCTATGAAGATTTTCTTCTCATATGATACACAAAGAAAAATCACTTGAAATATGGACTCCTTTTTTCCCAATATTAAAATATATAAAAAAAATTAAGCGACGCTTTTTAAATATCTCAGATATTAAAAGGCTAACTTATTTTTGTTATTTTTGGGAATATTTCAGATCTCCCTTATTTTATATTTTTCTCTCTGTGGTTGAGTTTAAATCGCCTTCACCAACTGGGCTTGGTTGTAAGTGTTAGATGGGTCTGTTCAACCCATTAGCAATCGTAGTCGGCGCCAAATGTGGGTAACTAGTGTTGTTACTGTTGCTGTTTTAACTTGGCTAACCGTCAAAGCCGAAGAAGAAGCCGCCGCTCATTGCTCGCTGGCTTCTACGATGATTATTTTCATGGACTTTGATTTTTTGGGATTTTAAACATTTTATGTTTTCTTTTTCTTCGCTGCTGCTTCTTCTCCTCCGTAGGCTTCTTCTGCTTTTATTGATAGTTTCAGATTTTTGTTTTAATTTTCAGTTAACTTTCTGATTTTCGCGCTAGCAGACGTGTGTGTCTCTCTTTCGACGTTTGAGTGGCGGATAATTTGTGTGTACGTGGCAGCCCAAAAAGCAATCAATGCTGACTATAACATAATAATCTCAATTAAGTGAGAAGCTGTGAAAATATCCATCAAGTGTGGTAGCCGAAAATGGATTTATTGGACTGATTTCGTGTGGACAGCAATTGTTAAAAGAGACGTTCTTCGTGTGAAATATGATGAGGACATTTACGATACGAACAAGTTTAATTTACAAACCATGACAGCCACAGCAAAATGAAGTAAAGTTTGCGCTGCTGTCACAGAATTTGTTGGCCCACAAAAGGAAAAAAAATGGCAAAACCCTACAACTACCTTCAATGTGCCACAAGTTCTGAGCAAAGCACAAACCACCGCAGACAGCAAACGTGCTAACATTGATAATGCCATGTCAGATGTTCACCCAGCGCCCCGCTTTGATAGGCCGCAACTTTGCTTCATCAAAACTTAATAGCCAGTTTCCGCATCCCTGCCAAAACAAGGCTAACAAGTGTCAGGCAACTCGCATAAAAACGATGCCGTAGTGTGTAGTGTATGAGTAAAAACACGTGGTTGGAAAACCAAATGAGGGCAGGGTGTGGGCTTGAAGACCCCCTCGTGACGACCGCTTCCGCTCCGGAAATGCAAGCGGCAATCAGACCACAAATTTATAACAGTCGGCTCCTTTTTGTGTGTTGCTTAATGTTAGAATGAGGAAAGTGCACAGGGAAAAATGTTTAAGGCATTTTATTATTCAACAAAGTTTAAGAAAAAAATATCTGAGAAAAAATATTTGAGATTAAGTTTCGAAGGGGTTACGTTTTTCCGTTAAAATGTGAAAATTTTGAGAAAAAGATTTTACTATAATAAAACATTATTTTAAAGTAATTTAGGTTTTTGATCGAATACAGTTTTGTCATCATATAAAATTTTTTAAACTCTCAAAACAGCCAAACATGAAGTTTTTACTTTCAAAATTTATTAATTCATTAAAATCATTAATTAATATTTAACAAATTATTTGTTGATTGCTTTTAAATTTAATTGCGTTTCTCTCTGTAAAAACCCTTTTGCTTGCAATTAACTATTATTTAAATTTGAAACGTATTCGTTGAAAGGAGAAAATGCAAACAAAGAGTACAAAGAAAACCACGACATAGAATTAAATCAAGGTGAATCGGTATCGCTCTCAAAATTACACCCAGCACTTAAGCTTCGTTTTCCCGATAAGGCGACTACCTCTTAGCTTAAATAATATTTTTCTAGTCCACATCGCAATCTTGGGAAAAGTCCTGACAAATGTGTTGCAGACTTTCTGGCAGCCGCGATTTCCATGTGCGAAAAAAGGAAAACTTGCGAGCTGAATATCTGAGACAAGTGTGGGTGCGTGTGTCTGTGCATGAGCATTGCATGATTACATGGCAAACCTGGGCCTTCGTCCTGCCCGCACATCGCATCCCCCCTGAAATACCAGCAGAAATTGTCCTTTGTGCATTATTAAAAATTCCGGCAACCGCCCCGTGTTTGCATATTTTTCCGTGATTTAATTTTTTCGTACATTTTCAACAAGATTCGCGTGCCCGACTTTCCTCCAGCCAGCAAGTTTTTGTGTGCCTCTGCATTTAAATCAAATTATAAAGCCGCACCCCAGCCAGGCTGACAGCATTAAAGAACTGCATGCATAAAATATTCAGCAAAAAACATACGCTTAAATTGAACGATAAAAAAGGAAAAATCACGCCAAATTAAAAGGACAAAGGAGGCGCGCAGGACCAAGCGATTAGTGGGTAAGTTGGGGGCGGATACAACAGCTAGATGGGAATGACAAAGTGAAGACCACAAGGTTTTCCGTGCTCCGGGCTCCATCTGTTTTTTATTTTCCCTTTTGCTGATTACACCAGTTTACAAAAATTTAAATAAAAATTTGCCTTCATAACTGAAACAGTTGTTTATAAGCAAGTAAACAGAGGAACACATTGCAAAATGATTATGTTAACTTGTAGAAACTTAATTTCTACCGCTTACTTATAAGTTCCAATGTTTCAGAAAAAACAATTGCACCAAGAAATCTTTATGGAATTTTACTGGCAAAAAGAATGTAAACTAGTGCTTGGGGAACTGAACTCCCCGTGCTCTACCTACCATTTTGTTGAACAGTGTTTTCGGGGGCAGAGGTCGCGTTGGAATTATTTACGAGCTCCCCAATGAACACCTCTGACGACAAATTGGAACCTGTTGTTGTGTGTATCGCCGTCGTGGCAGGCTTTGTTGTTGCACCGCAGTCGGTAGATGTTGTTTGCCTTAGCCGTTCGACTAGGACTTGCTTTCGACCCGTTGCACTCAGTCCGAGGGCTCTTAGCCGCGTCCTCAGCTCGGTCAAAGTGAGTCGCGTGATATCTGGGATGATAATGATTGTGTAGGCATGGGCAGAGGCGCAAAAAGTAGGTGATGAAATAAAAAAGGAGATACGAAAAAGAAATTAAACAGAATTTTCCATCAAAAGAAGGCTTTTTGGCAGGGGACTTGGCTTCGCCTAGGTGCAAAAGTGGCTGCTCCTTCCCTTTTATTTTTATTTTTTCGCAAATATGAATCAAAAGGCAAGCAACACAAAAAGGTAGCCCAAGGAGCTCTGGCACACAAAAAGCGCAGTAAAAATGATGGCACGTGCAGTTAACGCCGCAAAAAATGCACATAAAAAGGCGAGTCGAAAATGTGTTTAACAAAATAAAAATATAGCAGGAAAAAACAGACGTTGTGAATGGCGAAAAATTGTTGATGGAGAGGACACGCGCTGGAAGAAAGGAAGCAGACGAAAATACGTGGGAGCCTCTGGCTTGTCACAACATTTTCTTTATCGGACCAGGAAATGACACGCACACACAAATGAGGGGCGGTGGATTGGGTGCGGAGTGGGCGTGACCGTAGACCATCAAAAGAACTGCAGGCACATTAAATTTAATGCCATTGTCATCCTCAAAATTAACACAATGAATGGCAGGCATGGCTTCAGTTTGATTGCCTTGAAAGGATGAATGAGATAAGAGGGTTTCCCAAGCGAAATGTCGCACAGAAATTGTGAATATTATAATCATTCTTTTGCCAACTTTTTGTTTCGAAAGAATTGGCTGTAACCTCCTTAAAAAAGTTTCAGACTTAACACAATATACTATTTTTAAACTACATATTTACAATCAGTCAAATAACCACTCCATAAAATTTAAGTTTGCAATAAAACAGTTATGTTAAGAATCGCCTTAAATACCCTACAAAGTGTGTTATTATAAGCTTCAATTTTGCAAAATTTACTTAGAGTGCTTCGCTTGCATTATATTTAGCTACTAGAAACTAATTTAATTTTCTACAAACTCCTGGCGTAGCTTTCGCTTGATTAATGTGGCCACATTTAAACTTAATTCCGTGCCATCTAAGCGGATAAAAGCGCTTCGTACTGCTTCACATTATTTAAATTAAGCAAGAACGAATCTTCTGAAGGGGAAAAACAAAACATGAAATAAAATGGGAAAACTTTGAAAGCGGCAAATATGC